GGAAATTTATGACGCAAATGACACACAATCGCCCGCAAAATAAGTCCAAAAAGGTGTACCCAACTTTATGGAGTATCAGACATACATAAATAAATCAATCTCTGGTGTTCGTGTTTTGTCTTGTCGTTTCAGCGAGTTTTTTTTCTCTCGTTTTTCTTTACTTTCCTATAGTTCGTCTTATTTTTTTATTTCAGCTGTTTGTTTGTATGTTCATTTCTGTTACAGCACGGTACCGCGGATGAGATAATTTTCTATTATTCATAAAAGAGCAAATTGTATTTTATTGTTATGCGTTTTTAAAAGGCAAAGATTTCAAATACAAGACAATGTCATTAGGGATTCATTTCGATGTGGCAACAGCAGCAGCAGCAACAGCAGCGGCAATAATCACAGCTAAAAATGGAGTTGTTTTTTCAAGTCACAGACTGATTTCTCTCTTGTCGACTTTTTCACTTCTGACGATCATTTGTTTTTTCTTTCGACGACTTTTTTTTTCCACTGGTGAATTTTTTTTTCTCGGATGAAGTCTTGATAATCGGATTTTTTCCGGCAGTTTTGACTTTTTCATTGAAGAAAATTGCTTCGTAGGTGTATATTAAGATGGACCTTTCCAAATTCAATGTCGTTGCTATGTGAAAATTTCGTGGGGTGGAAAATATGATTTGTTGCCATCAATCGTTGAGCTAGCAACAAAGTCAATGGCACACGTGGAAGTACTTGAAATGAGGAAATTTCATGCAGACATCCTCCAATATCTAATTGCAAACAAAAAATTATTGTCCAAAGGTGTGCACTGTGCACGCAACAACGATAATAACGTCAACGTCAGAATATTTAATCGGAATTAATTCAATTCGGCTTGACGCCGTCTCGACTTTGTGTTTTGCTGCTTACTTTGCATAGTTGTTCATTTGTCGACGTGAACAAACAATCGTGCGGAGCGCGAGCCAATCAGACAATGTAGCTATTTGGTTGCCTCTGTCTCAAAGCACTTATTTCATTTGCTTCGATTATCATCGATTTACAAATAAATCGTTGTGTGCTTGTTTAAGTGTTTATTTTGCCCACGTACGAGCAGAAGCTTGTTGTCATATTAGATTCAATGTTCTGTTCTCATGTGTGCAATTACAGTAATTATTTACGTTTTTTTTTCTGTCACAATCTGTTGTGTTTTTTTCAGTTCTTTTTCCTGTGTACGAAATGACTAATACACGCATTGTATTACGTTAAACTTGACCTCGATGAATGTGAACTCCGAATGGTCGCACATCATAAAGATAAACACTCCCAAGTGCAAGAACAAACAAGATAACAAAAACAACGGGAAAAAAACATACAAAAAAAACAAAGTCGATTTCACATCCGTATGCCCTTAATTGAATCAGGTGGTGTTAATCAGAATACAATTTAACGGAAATTTTTATTTTTCGGGACTGCAAAAAAAAAAAATTTGCGTTATGGCGCTTATAAATTCAATTTTCAAGCGCAATCAATTCAATGTCACCGTTGGAAAGTGTGAAATTTGTTGCCGCCACATTTAATTGTGTGCTAATTAAGAGTCTGTTTTTATCCCAATGATGTTGGTGATCAGATTTAAATACAGTGTACCGATTTACTTTGTATTCACCTTTCGTACGGAATTCGAATTAATTGTCACCAATTAGAAGGGAAAAAAATATTCAGTTTGCAATGCAGATAAGAATCAAGCTTATGGATTGTAAAACAATTCAGTGCAGAGTCAGTGATTTGTGTTTTGTTGTTTGTAAATGGCGTTGGTATTGTTTGCAAATGACAAATCCGTAATAATTTTTTATGATGCAGCCGATCTCTCGGTTGTGGTGCTTTTGGTGTGTATTTTAAGCGTTTCGAAGCACAGAAACAGGTTTTCTTGACATGGTGAATCGTTTCTGCAGACCATTCATTTGAATCAACACGAATGCCAATTTCGTTGAATGGAGCCAATCAAAATTTCTTCGGGGAACAGACAAAATAAACAGTTCTAAAGCTTTGAGTGTTCAGATGAAATGGTTAAAAATAGCGCAGGTCGAATAGGAGCGAAAGATTGAATGCCAACCGCATTCGAAATGACCGTACACAAAGATCCAAGATGAGATGAGATGAGTTGCTGTTGTTTTTCTCTCATTTCTTTTTTTTTCTGCTGCAGTGCAAAAACGAGCTGTGACTAGGACTAGCTAAAGTTGCATTCACATTTAGCGTGTTTTTGTATTTTGTGTGTATCTCTATCTATCTCGTTTGAACTGAAATCGAGACGATATAAAGTTGTTTGACTCGTTTGGTGAATGGTTTTGTGTATGCCATTTGGCTCTCGTTTTGACTGCATCGCAAGTTTTGCACAACTTCTCGGGCGATCACACACAAGACACAACAGCAACGAAACAGAAGAAAAAAAAACAAACGAGTTTTGATTTTCCAAGTCAGCACTCAGAGTGTATATGTGCGCTAGTGCTCTGGAAGGGAAACAAGTGTGCACTCATTGAAAATCGATTGGAAACGCTGCAATTGGAAAATGGTTCGTTTGGTTTGTGTTTCGCTAGATTAGAGTTGAGGCTTCACCTCAATTGATGTGAACGAGATTTTGTGTGAGTGTGTGTGTGTGTGTGGCTGAATGTGCCAATTGACTTTTAATTCGATTTTTCGAACGTGCAAAACCAATCGTGCAATTATAAACGATAGAATAATTGCAGCGCATCGGAACGCATACCGAGGCATAGACATTTATACAGACAAGCATAGACCCAACCAAAAACTTCCTAAAGTGAAAACAGAGATTACGCGAGATGCGCTATCACTTTTACAGAAATTACATTCTTCGATTGCGCTCGAGAGGTTGTTATGCGGATAGATGTTTATCGCATGGTTCACTTTGCATGTGCAAGAGGAAAAAACAACCAACAAAAGCGAGAAATATTGACTTTCTCTGTTGCAGCCGAGAGGCACACATTCTCGCTGCACTTTTTTTTCTCCGTTTCTGTTATTTAACCAAATTAATCTTGTACGCGCGGTGAAACAAGAGATGGAAAAAAAAACAGAACTGAAATTAAAAAATTCAATGAAGACACAAACAAAAACAGATAGAATCCGTTTTATTTTCCACTGTTCGAAGCAAAAGCTTTTGCAAGCACTACACTCCATTCGCGAGTGCAAATTAAACAGCAAAATTTGCACACTCTAATACGTGAAGAAAAAAAAGAAATGAGAAGTCGGTTGGAGATCTCGGCAGTGCGGTGGTATAAGCAAATGGGGCTTGATGAGGAAGATAAAAAGTGGCAACCATATAAAAAATTATTTTAATGTAGGAAAATGTTATTATTGTTGCTAATATATCACAAACAATTGAAGTGTTCTCGCAAGTACTCGCGCGCAGCTCACTCACAGTTCGTATTAATACACACACACGCGCGTTGAATGGAGTTAAATGAGCAATAACAGTCATATAACGAGAAAGTACGGGAAACCGAGATGTGCGTAGTCCGCAGCAGCGTGTTTTTGTTTTTCATCGCTCTTCTTCTTCTTCTTCTTAATTTTATTACGTGTTGCGGTTGTTCTTGTTTTTCTTTCTCTTGCTCGGTTCTACGAGGCATTTTTAAATGTTTTTTTCCTCCTTTGCAACAAACGTAATAAATGTAAAGAGCATCTTTATACTTGAGCAAGCATTAAAATCCGTGTTTACGTTTTTTTTTTCTCTCTCTTCTGTTCATTCCTTTTGCTCGTTTGTTTGAAATTAATTTTTGATGATAATTTTAGTTCGGCGGCCTTGAATGCGGTGCGATCGACACAATGAATTGGCGCATATTCACTGCACGATCCCGCTGTGATAATAGATCGCCGATGCAACACTGACGTCGTCGTTTCACACGATTTTTTCGCTATTGTGCGTGATTGGAGCGATGTTTCTACTCTTTTTTTCCCATTTACATTTTTTTTTCTCTGTTGTAGTACAGCAGTGCTGTACTATAGACAAATTATTACAAAAGTCGGATAGAAACTCATCGAATTAATTCATAGTCGAACGCAATTGATTGTTCAGTACGTATTTCTTTCTGTCTCAATGTGTTTCATGGTTATTTATGGTATTTTCGGGTCTTTGCCTTATCATTTTTGACGTTCGATAGATGGAGCGAGCAAAAAATGACCTAAAAATTGGCGTTGCCTATTTTTCATTCGCTCCAGCGACTAGCGCGCTCATGTAAAGCGATCATTAGAAAAAAAGGGAAATATTCATGATGATTCATGATTCGGGCTAATTACACACAGTATTCAAATGAATACTAAAAAATATAAAACAAAAACCTTTTCATTTAATGATGAAGTCAGGGAGATCGACTGCGATTGCTGTTGCTCATTGCGATGCAGCGTTTATTTCTTTGAAATAGCCATATCTAATTGGAGACCCATTTCGGTATTTCTGCTTCTCAATTTTTTTATGTTACATGACAGAATCGGAGTTTAGAACAAGTGTTCAACACAATTTCCTGCTGCTGTAGCAACAGCTGTGTCTCTGTATCAGCCGTTGTGTTAAGTTCGCCGGAATTTCGATTTCAATTTTTATGTGTCATTCAGTTTCGATTGAATGACAAGCAAATGATAAGCAATTTTTTGTCGTATTTTTGTCTCGTAAAGAGCATGACGTGACGTGTGTGTTTTATTAATTGATTTGATAAATGTGCTTGGGACGAGAATAAAATATGATCGTCGAGTGAAGCGAGTTCGTCAAACGAATGATCAAAACCAAAAAAAAACACATTGTCAACTTTTTCCTCTTGTCTCGTTTGATTAAACGCCATTAGATTGAATATTCATTGTGCACACCAATATTCATGTGTGGTTCCAATACGTATACTTTACATTCAAACGTGTGCCATTCGTATTATTGATATTTTTAACCGATGAACGTGGTTTGTTTATCAATTGCGACTTATTAAAATGGCACAATAGTTACACTGAAACAATGATAACGCACAACGACCATTTTCGGGTGTGTGTGTGTGATTTTTTTTTGTTCTGCTCAGTGTTTGCGCAAAATTACGGCCGATTACTTTTTTCGTATTCAGCAACACAATTCATTCGGTTGGGAAGTTTGTTTTTTCTGTTCATTCGTGTCGTATGGTTGTCAATTTTTATGGCGCAGACTACCATATCTTTTTGATGGAATTATAAATAAATCACCGAGAATAAAATCGAACGAACAAAAAAATCGCACACTTTAAAATTATTGTTTACATTTTAAATCTATTTTTGTGCGAAGGAGGTTTTCGAACCTATCATCATTATTTTTTTTTGCACGATCAAATTTACGACGATTTTTTTATGACGAAAAAAAAAACGCAAATAAATAAATCCATTCGAATAATCCATAATAAATGAATTCCATCCGAAATATGAAGATTCTTTCCGGAGAATGCAATCCCCATGAATGGCAAATGAGATTTTATGAATTCGTTGAAATTTCCATCAAATGTGAATTCTATACATAGACACGTATATTTTTGTTGTTGGCTGTAAACTCGAGTATGTGGCTGGATGCAGAATATCCGTAAATATTGTTTTCCACCTGTCAACAGCACACGAAATTTTTGCATATTTTTCAGATTTATTCCAGCATTGAACAGTGCGAGAAACAGAGGAAGAGCGAGAAAGAATTGTGTATAAATCATTTCGCGATGTAAAGTATAGTGTGGCTGCGGAAATAAGACGAGAATCGATCCACTGCAAAAGGAACAACCAGAAGAATATGCAAAAGCAATTGCACAAAATGATGATAAAACGGCAGGCGAAATTCACTCAAGTCAGTCAACACTAACTTTTCTTTCTAGAAGACGGCAACGAGGCCAACAATAAGAGACTATTTTCTACGTATCATGTAAGTAACGAGTTTCAAAGTTTTCGCCCGTTTTTCATTCGGTGTATGGAACGATCTTGCTCGAATTCAATTTTTACAGCATCAAAAATATAAAGCCATATTTTTCTCGTACAATCATTCGCATGTGTTTTACGTGAAATCTCTTTCTCTCTCTTTTTCATTTTACATAATACCATTTAATGTTATTCCGTGCCAAATTTTTTTTTCTGCTCGTCGACGACGATATCGTTTGCATTGTTTGTTGCCAAAAAAAAAATTCTTAGGCTGAAATAAGTCGCGAGAGAGAAAAAAAAACACACAAACACAACATCGGCGAACCAAATGAAATGAACTATCAACACGAGTTGATACAATAAACTCTTGATCCTATTCACATTGCAACGTCGTCAATTCTCACACTCTGTCGAGCAACGAAAAAAAATCCATTTCATTTGAAATTGGTTTCAGAACGAAAATAACAAACAAACTCAAACAGTTTGTGATCAGGGGGACGCCGGATATTTCTTTTTTCGGGGTCGAAATCAAAAAAGACGGTCGATTTTGTTCGATCAAATCGAATGCAATGAATGTAACATTTTTAGTGTCGTTGTTGTAATACTGCTGTTGCTGCTTCCGCTGCTGCCGTTGCCAATCCCATTACATTTTGATTTTCGTTTCGAAATGCTCACCTCTTGTCTGCTTCAGCTACGGTCGCTCGTTTCAAGCAACAATTTATTACTTCATAAAACACACTCGTCGCTCAAAGATTCACTTTTTTGCACTGTTTTCCTTTTCTTTCTCCCCCTCTCTCTCTTGATAAATTTCTACAAAATTTATTCAAATTTTTCGAATGAATGGAAATTAATTGCACCTGAACTTTGATCTGTGGCAATGGCCAAAATATTCGACGAAAAAAAAAACGGTGTGATTAGCAAATATACCAACTAGCCGATTCGCGTATAAAATTATCTCGCACAACTTTGACTGAATTTGAAGGCAGAGAGCACGCAAAATAATATACAACGCAACTGTTTCGCTTGATGCAAACTTTCTGGTGTGTCTGTCGCACAAAGACTGACGAGATACTACAGAAACTAGGTGTAATTTGAACGAACCGTACGAGAGTGAATCGAACAAATTGAGACAGTGTTTATGGTGAGAGCGCCTTGCTCTGTGGCCTGTCTATGTGCCTATGTGTCTCTGTGTGTAAGTGAGCGAGTGAATGTGAATGTTGTGCGCAACGAACAAGCAATTGAGACAACGCGGTGTGTGTTCGCAAGGCGATGGAGCTGAAAACAAAAAACAAAACTCGATGCTATCGATGTATCGGTGCGCGTTATACATTGGAGCAGTTTTGCTTGTTGGATGGATGGCTGGCTGCTTTGTGCTTACCGACAGGCACAACTACACACAAACGCACAGTTGCTATAGAAATACCGTGTGTGTGTGTGTGTGTGTTCGATGAGTGTAGTCGATTTGAATCGCTCTTATGGTTACACGCTTGTATGCTATTCTATGGCACTGGTTGACTCTGTCGATCTTGTACAGCAATCGAAGCAAAGGCAATACAGAAGCAGCTGACTGAACGGAACGAAACGACTCGAAGTGCATTAGCATGCGCTTATGTGTCGCTCTGTTGTGTTTGTTTTTCGTCTGGCTTTAAAGCGATGTGTTGTTGTTGATAACTTTGTGTGCGGATGATTTTAGCTGCTCCGTGAGTGAGTGAGTGTGTGTATGTTTGTTGTGTGGCTCACCGAGTATTGTGTGCGACAGAGTGAATAGGTAAACTATTCAAAAATTTGTCTGAAGGAACTTATGTATAACGATGTACTTTATTTTTGGCTGCTTACCAAAACCAGAGATAGAGATGAAGAAAAAGAAAACCAACGATTCATCTTAGTTTTAGTTCGTTCTTGTCGATGAACTTCGTACTTTTGCAGCCGCACACAAATTACATTTCAAATGTGCTTAGAGAGAGTTTTGACGCTACAAAACTAATAAATTTTCGAGTGTAATTGCAGATTAACGAGTGAAAACCGGTATTCGAACAGTTTGAACACAAAGACCATATATCTCTCTATCTCTCTCTTTCTCTATCTCACACAGCCACACCGACCGAATGGATTGGTGTGTACGTTTGGTACCCACAAACAACGTTTTTTATGACAGTTTTTGTTGATGTTATTCCCTTTATTTTCGATTTTCGCTGCTTAATTCTGTCTTTAAACATCGTTGTTTACGCTGTTCGGCTATGGTACGTCTTCCTGCTTGGCATCGATACGATTTTCGCCTCTTTTTATGCGATCCTTCGTTTTGAGTTGATTTTGCTGCCTCGATAAATCATTCAATTCGATTGAATCGCGTACACAAATCATCATACGCAAATATGTACAAACTCGATATCGATATCTTAGTTGAGCTCTCCTGTAAGTTGAAGGAGTGAATGCGTCTCTTAAAAGGTATCTGAACTTTGTATGTAAAACGTAAACCAGAAAACATGTACGAAACAGAAAAAAATAGAACAGGCAATTGCACTTTGTCAGCCGGCTAACAAGAGAGAAACTCCAATAAAATGAACCCCCCAAGTTATTCCGATGCGAATGAGTAAGTGAGCGAGTGAGCGAGTGAGTTTTGTTTCGATGCAAAAGTCATTGGCCGACACAACGAACCAGAGCGAGACAAAACACACAAAAAGCCGAGTGAATGAAGCATTGAAAGAGCAGCCTGCACATGACACGTTTCTTGATATTTCATTCCATCACTCAACACATGCACTTTTTCTCGCTTCACTTATTGCAACGAGAGTTTTTGCTTTTTTTTCTACACCGTGCATACACAATTTTTCCCAGTTACGTTCGTAATTCTATTTGATCAATTGCATTTGTCAGCCAGTTTTATATGCACACACTTTTTTTGTGTGCTTTCCCCCCCGATGAATGCCGACACTACATTGTACAAAATAAATACAACTCATTCTCGTTTCTCCTAATCATGTTGTGTTGTCAGAACTTACTTTTTACATTATTCATATAGCACTCAATGTGTTTAATTTTTCTTTTTGAATTTTCCGTATACTTTTGCACTACGCAAAAGTACTGCATTTGGCCAACATTGTCAGGCACCTTAAAAATACAATTTCTATCCACTTTCAGGTCCGTATAATTAAGCAAAATGATTTTTAGATGGGTGTTTCGTTGGTTTTGACAAGTTCATTAAGGGTTTGGAATATCACCAATCACCATGACTCACGCGCAAGATATTTTGAATCATCTCTTGTGTGTGTACTAGGGTGGGTCGATTGAATTGCCTTGATAATATTAAAAATGGCGATTGGGGAATTTATGTTTATTTTCTCTTCGGATTGCCAAACATAAATTAAAATGCCCACATCTGGTATTTTTCATATGGTCATGTTCAATCGATCCACCCTAGTGTGGACAAAATCAAAAAGTCTTTGGAAAAAACGTTTATGTTTAAGTTTCATTTTTATTTTTGAGTGTATAGAGTAAATAAGAATGTGCAATTGGAAAAGGGTTCCGGGCAAATAAGAAAATTCAACAAATTCGCCTCAAGTAAGTAATTCAGATGATGGATTCCCATTGGTCGTTTGTGTGACCCATTTCTTCATTTAATATCATTTACGAAAATGAATGAACTGTAATTGCTTCCATTTCAACCAATTCACAGCTAATGGATTGATTTGTAAGCAAAGCAATTGATTCATTTTATTCACGATTCACAATTCATTTGATAAAGAGAAAGAACGAGACAAACTAAGAAATAAATAACGAATGCGAGAGTAGCTGTTTCTCGTTACAATGTTTAAAAGCCACAGCTTCCTCAAACATGTGCGACGAATCAGTACAACTGGCATTTTCTCCGTACAGCTATTTATGTGGAAAAATGCCAAATACGAATGAAATATAAAGCAGTTTCAATGTAATAAGTTCAATGGAATCGGATAGAAATCGAATCAAGTTGGAGCGTCTCTGCTAAAATATTCATTAGATATTTGTTTTGTTTTTGGGAATTTTCCTCAATAATGATACTTGTTTGTTGCTCCATATATATTGCTGGGACACCCGTTTCCATTGGAGTTTCCCTTATTGCTTCCAAAAATTATAGGCAAAATGAAAAAAATCGTCTAAAATTTTCACAAGATAGAAACGAGTGGAAGAGCTACAACATTATTAAATGATATTTGGAGGGTGAGAGAAATAGAGAGGAAGAGATAGAAAGCGAGCGACACACAGGATCCGGATAGTAAATTGGTACTTTGGCATTTTGGGTTTTGCCATTCAGTGTAAATAGAGGCAAAATTCCTTAGCTTACAGAGCGCATAGAGAGCAATAGAGAGAAATGTAATTTAATTATAAATAAATCGTGCAATAAACCGAGAGCCGATGTAATGGAACTTTCCTTTCAGTCGTTTCAATATCACAACTAATTCCAAGAGATTTTGAGATACCGAATCGAAATTGTGTATGCGTATCAAACAAAACTAACTCTCTGACTGATTCATGTCACCGTATAAAAGTTTATTTGTTTTTCCTTTTCATTCGTTTGATTATGCATTTGCTAGTGTATGGCGAAAAAATACAGCGGCAACAGTAGCAGCAGCAATTAAGTGGAATGCTTGTTTCGGGTTTCTCTTGTGTATGGTGTTGGAGCATCGTTATTTTATGGCAATTTGAACATGTGTATGAAAAGTGCTCTAGTTTTTTTTTTCTTCTTCTGTTTCGTGCAAACAAAAATATGTCATTTTGTTCGAATTTCAAAAGACTACAGCGCCTTCAATTACATTGTATGTCAATCTCGATAGATGCGAGCGAAAGAGAGCGGAATGGTAGGAAAAGCGGCAGCCAGACAAAGATGAATAAACACATTGAAGCAGATAGAATAGCTAGCATACACACCGAAAAGAATCAAACAAAATTATAATGACGATGACAACGACGAGGACGACAGTGACAGCGACAACGCCGGTGACAAAGACACTTGATAAAATGTCTACCGTTTATAAAATTTTTGAGAGCGCATCGAAGATATTGTATCGTTTACAGTACGAAATACTTGAGTGTAGTGCTTGTCGCGCGGCGCATAGCCTCAACAATATTTCATTTACATGGGACAATGTGGCTGAAGATAAAAGCAAATAGCTCCACCGATAGTGCATTTATGAAGTCGGTTCACATATAGGTATGTAAGAAGAGATGACATAATAGATGCATCGAGTGAGAGTTGTTCGTATGTTGTATAGTTTTTCTCTCCTCTTGTTTTGTTGTTGTTATTGTTGTTGTTCATCCACTTCGCCTCCAGAACGAGACCAACTTCAATCAGATAAAACGGATCTCGAAACATGGCTCACATAACATACTCCACATTAAAACCAATCCAATGAAAAAGTCAACAATTAAAATGATACTTTTTATTTATGCAGTATGTTAGTGTTGTTTTTTCTCTGTGTGTGTTTGTTTGTTGCGCTTGCACATGAGCCAACTGTGTTTGTGTACACATGCATGCAATCACTCTCTCTCTCAACGAGCCATTCCATCAAAGTGATACATTCAACAAACTGCCCATATCGTTATTGTTCGGTACATAGTGCATTTATGAAGTCGGTTTGTTTAGATTGTTTATTCAAACGCTCGGTCAATAGGAAAGTCAAACGTTTCATCTGTTTTTTCTCTCTCGATTCTCTCTTCGTCGTTGCATTTAATTGAAATAATTCGTGTGCATGTTTCGCTTTTGTGTTGCTATGTGTGTTTTTATTAGGCCCAATAAAATCATGTCAACGGAAAATTTCCTGTGTCACACATGACTTTCGATCGTCGGCTTTGCTCACACTTGGTCAATGTACTGCATGTCACATAAAATGAGATGTTCGAATTTTTTTTAACGAAGTGAGAACGAGAAGATATCAAGCAATTTGTTCTATGTGTTTGTTTTTTGTTGTTGATACTTTGGGAGTGAGAGCTTAACAAAAGCAGCGGTTTTTCAAATCCTATTTCGACAAACATTAGGAAATTTTCTAGAGTTGTGTTCCTCTTTTGACAGCCTATCAAGCGTTTCTCTTTTTTTGTCATGATTCAACCGAATCTTGGTATCTTGTGTTATTGGAGGGGGTTTTTCCCATGTGAATTACGCGCAATATGCCATACAATGATATGTAGATTGATATCGATTACCGCATAAAAAGCAAAAACGCAAAATTGTGTCTGGCCCAAAATGACATCGCCTCTATCAATGCCAAACAAACTTTCTAAATGCTGATGCAAACACAGAAATTCTAAGCCTACTTTTATTAAGTTTGGCAGAGGAAAACAAAGTTTGCGCTTACACGATGAAATGAATACGTTGCGCAATATAACGAGACATGAATGATTTGCAACCGTTCATTTGACATTGTTTATGTTCCCCAAATATCAATAGAGAGAGAGAGAGAGAGAGAGAGGGAGACATAGAATGTGGGCAATTATTTAATGGATAAGCAAAGTGCGTTCACTTGTTATATTGCTTCGAACAACGATGGTAAACAGCAACGGCGACAATGTCAATGTAACGCATGTCTATGTCACTTTTTTATCACTTTATTTCTGCACAAATGCCGTTATACAAACAGATGTACCAGGCGCTTGTACATTTGAAAGTTGACACTTTGCAAATCCCGGAACACAACGCACAAAATTACATCGACTAATGATGACAGCCTTATTCGCGCTCATCGCCACTAGCTTTGCTTGTATGTTTTCTTTCTCATTTCTGATGATGATTGCGTTCTTTATATAGCTCGCAGCGCAATAACATTTCCAAGAACTAGAACTTGGTGGCCTTTTGGTTTGGGTTCCCTTTTTTTCAAAATGAAAATTGTGTCATTCACCTTCTGTGATGACTGTGAACCAGAGAATGTAAGTGTGTGTTTTCACTCTGTGGTGCACCCATAACTAGAATTAATTCGTTGAATTCATTTAATATGCTTCTCCTGCGTGCTTTTGTTAATATCCCCTTTCATCGTCTCTTTTTTCGTTCTCTCTTTCTTTCTCTCTCCCTCTATCTCTCTATCTCGCTCTCATACTACGTGTGTGAGTTTTGTTTTTTCTCTCTAGTTTTTCATTACTGTGCCTGCGCTCCACCGAATGAAATACTTCAAAGACAGTTTGTTCAACTCTGAAATGCTGTCTCTCTATCTCTTTCGTTCGTTCTCAGTGTAAATTAAAACATATTAAAAAAGACCCGTAAGGAGAAAACACTATTATTGGATTAATTACGACTGTGTCGCTTTCATTATGTTTCCATTGAGAAGAGAGAGAAAAAACGGAGCGTCGAAACCAACGTCGGGTTCCTCTTTTCAGCAGCCAATTTTAACATAAAAAACGGAAAGAACCTTCAATGGCCATTTAATGAAGTCAACCGAAAATAGAAAATACAAGAATTAATCCTCGCATCGTTGTTGTTGTTGTTTTTTGCATTTTTACGACTCGTTTTTTTCATCTTTTAACAAATTTTCTACAACGCAATTCTTTATCACATTTTGCCTATCTCAATTCTTGTTATCAATTCCTGTTCGGAGTTTTTTTTTCATATTCAACTTTGAGCTACAACAGAAATCGAGCTCTGTTCTGATTGTTGGAATTATGACTAATTAATTTTTAAGTCGATTCACGAAATAAAGTTCATTCAGTTGCCAACAAAAATGTGTTTCTATTTGCTGATATGCGAATCACATCCACAAATCGGACATGCCTAGCTATGAGATCATAGTAAATGTGACGTTACAATTATCTTTTCACAGTTACTGACTTACTCATTACACACTGTGATTTAGTTGGAGTATCGTTAATCACTTGATAAGCACTGAACTTTGGCCCAAAAGTAGGCCATCGTGAAAACGTGACAAAATGTTTCTCACGAAAACGATTTAAAATTCTGTTGAATTACTTGCCAGGATTCACGTCAACCTACAAATCACTGTTATTTTTAGTATTTGTTTTTCTTCAGATAAATTCATTTGTTTTATTCCGTAGTTAATATATTATTCATATTGTATAACGATGATTTGTTATTTTTGCTGCTTTTCAAATGTCAATGAATTGTTTCGATGGAACACAAACAATGAACAAAACAAATTGAATTGTTCTTATCAAAGTGGGAAAAGTACCCGATCAATATCATTCGATGAAGAAGACAGAAAAAAACTCCTTCGATGAAAGAAATTGAAATGCAAGTGGGAATGTATGAGTAGGTGTGTGCCTTTGAAAATAGGATCTGATAATAAGTGTTCGTTACAGATAAATCGGTTTTTAATAGAATTTATTGCACTTATGTCAGCTTAGAGGATGGGTACATTATTAATTAACAGCTTACATTATTTCATCAGCAAAAAGAAGAAAAACAGAATTATATCAGCCGCGCTGCAGCAGCAGCAGCGCCATGGCAAAAAAAGCTCATTTTTTAGCTTCATTCACGTGACTGTTAATAACAGACCTGGTTTCATACGTGTGTGATGTGTGTGTGTGTGTGTATGCATGGAATGTAGAAAATTGTTATCGAGTCGCATGACAATGGCATTGTTTTCATATCGATATTTTTCCTGACCACATTTTTTGCCCCTATCTCTCTGTCTCTCTATCCCCCATTCCGTCATTTCTATCGCTATCTATTTTGTCTATTTGTTTACGTCTCAAGTTCGATTATTGCTTCTTACAACACCATTGTTTATTCTATTCGTTTGCCGTTGTTTATGGCCGAATCAGTGAGTTATCATCCGAAAATGATGTACACAATATGGTTTTTGTCTGCCCTTTATGAGAATGAGCTTAGAGGGCGAAAGACCGATTCCAATGTATACACAACAGTTTTTCTCTTTCTCTTTCTTTCGGCTGCTGGCTTCGTGTCAATAATCTCTTTACAAACGATGGGACGATTCGTTTGACACACGAATTTGTCTGAAAAAACGACAAATGACCGTAGATAACTTTACGCACATTTAATTCGGCAACGATGCATAGAAAACTATTAATTAAAATTAATGATTATTTGAATGGACTTTTTCGGTGACAGCGACATCAGCAACAACAAAAGACCGAACGAATATATCCAATGTATTGAAATGGGTTGAATTTGAGAGAAGATCATTTGCAGGCATTGAATGATGTGCTAGAATTTCCGATGAATTTTAATTTAAAAGGAGTGATAGTCGTTGTTAAGCCTCGTCTCACTTTTTGTTCGGCATGCAAACGCGGACGAACTTGATGGATAGAAAAAATGATATCAATTTTGGCTGGCCTTGAGCCGAAACTGACACTTTCCGTTTGTGTAGTATTACATTCTAACGAAATCAACCCGATTCGTGCATATTAAAAGATTATTCATTTTAAATTGTTGCCGGCGAGGAAAAAGGTCGAAGTCGGTGAGCAGCTGTCGAGCGGGAGAAGGAGAGGGAGAGAATGGGCGAACATGTCGAAACACCCAATTCCAATGAATAATTCAATGTATTTGAAGTCCTTTTAGCAACACTTCGCGTGCAATACAGAAACGTTGGTATTTTATTCGCATAATTTTTTGTTGTTGTTTCATTATTTCACTTCCATTTTCATCGTCATTCGTTGAACGTATCATATTCTTGTACATATATGAATGGCACGCGGTACTTCTAATACAAACACAATCGCCGCGCCATGAACGAAGGACATTATGTAAATTACACACAAAAGCACGTCTTGTCGATACCGAACAAAACGAAAGGAAAACCCAAACGGAAAATGGAGCGTTAGCATTTTATGTAATGATTTTCATTTGTTTCGTACTTGCAACGTGAGTGCAGAAAAAAAAACAGCATCGTTACCACCGTGCAACCAACCAATCAGTTCAAACTCAGGCAGCCAGAGCACAGGTACAACATAACCATCTGTCAAATTTATGGAAACAAAAGCGTAAATAATTTGTGAATGATACACAGAAGAAAACAAACCAGTGCGCCAAGAGAGGGAGATAGAAAGAGAGTGAAAGACAAAAAAAATGAATCACGAAAATTATAATGTGATTCTTTGGCTATGAAATTCTATGGAAATGATGATGAATCACATTATCGTTTATATGCATTCATTTCATTATGGTTTCCAGCTTCGGCTCTTGTCTCTATTGAGATTTCAATTTTTTTGTTCTGGTTCTTTATTTCCTCCCTTGATTCGATACGGTTTCCAAGACTTGGAATCGGACTAAATAGCTGTCACAATTGCAAATGTAAATACAATTATGAGGCAGCAACGGCGACGGAAGGAGAGTAGGTGTTGTTTTTCCATGTGAAAAACTGTGTGCATTTATACCAAAATGTAGTGTATTCCAACAAAATCAAATGGAATTACATCACTGGGATTGCGAATATAAATTCCAATTTATTTTTCTTTTAAACGTCGTTTGTCGTCGTCGTCGTCGTTTCTTACTTTTCACTCACCACACACCGGTGTGGTGCGGTTTGGGCCTGTGTGAAAAATACACGGCACCGGGCTCGTATTTGAACCATTGTGCACGCACTGTCGTCGGCACGCACTGTCGTCGGCACGCACTGATAAATTACGCAATCATTTTGCAATGTTCTTTGGCTTGCCATTATACATTTTCGTCGTCGTCGTCCCGTCCCCCTCGTCTTCTCTAACATCAACCGTTTGTTCGCTTATTTGTTGGCAGCACACAAAGGGACGCTTTAGTGCCAGGGTGGTCGGGTGTCATAATTTTTAGCTAAACAAAAGTGCCCACCATGGAATTGTACTTTATTAATATTTATGGATCTCTATGCAAAAACGACACATACACACAAATACAAGGACGATGAGACACAGTTAATATCGTTCATAATCACCAAAAATGTCCAACGTCGATACATTTATCACTTTGCATCAATACTTCTCGGTGGAGTGTACTATGGACGCACGCCAGTTATGTTTACAAATTATTTTCAATAAATCGAAATGTGCTTCGCATGGTGTAGATCCAGTATTCAATTTGTTTGCCATTTAATTTGCATTAATGCGAGAATAAAGTTCTCTCTTTCGCTCTGTCTCACACTATGTGTGTGTGTGTGTGCATGAGCGTTCGGGTGACCAAATGGTTGGTCGATATTGCTATTTGATCCGGGCGGCATATCAATAAATTTTACAGCCGTGTGTACAAAAAGAGATGTACATTGTGCACACAGAACGGCGCAGACAATGTATAAGAGCTACACGGGGAATAATAAAGTACGGTGGACTCACCATTTAATGACCAAATATGTGAAGGCAATGATGTGGCTGTGTAAACGCGTCCTAACGCGATGGCACCAGCTGTTGCAGCCGCTATACTATCACCATCTTGAGCTAATGTCGCTTGTTGTATCACCGCTTCGATGTTTGAACTTTGGATTTGTGGAATTGCTATTGATGTTTGTCGTCCAAAAGACACAATAAAAAAGATTGAGGTATAGAAAATGGGAATATGGTGTAAATTAAAATTGAAATGGATGGGCAGAAAAAAAAGAATCGAAAACATCAGTTTACCATTCAAATAATTAGATTGCGTTGTTCCGTTTGAATTGCTTTGCTGTAAATCGGGAACAGATGATAACGAACGAGCCCGTTGTCGGTCAATGGTTGATTGATTGGCTGCCGTTACATGCATTCCCGGTATCGATCTAAGTAAACTAAAGCCCGTAGCGGTCGAACTTCCGGCGGGTATAACTTCGGTCGCCGAACTGCTGCTCGTTGAAAATGTTCGTGTCCGCGGACTTTGTGAATTGTGCTGTTGACTGTGTACATGGTGCTGATGATGTGGACCTGAACTGGTCGTGCCATTTGAACCATTGGCTGTGCTCGTTTTTGCACCCATTATTTTCGATTCGTTTAAAATTTACAACATAAAATCGCCTAAACACTAATATTCGCTTTTGACCACAGCTTGCTTGAAAAGCAACGTTTTTTTTTATTGTTCAGTATTCTATTTCTTTTTTGCGGTAAAATCGATTGATACCTCGTTTTAATCCCGATCTTCTTCACGTTTTATTCTGAGAAAAAAAAACGGTTTACTCATTCTGTCGCACACGTTCAAGTCATTTTGAATCAGCGAACAAAAAGCACTTGTTAATTTATTGAGTTCTTTTTTAGCACAAAAACTGTATAATCAGTATATTCACAAATGGTAAAACTGAATAAACAAACAATTAAACGAAATCAACAAGAGGAAACTTAATAAATTTTTGCGTAACATTTATGGTGCTGACGGTGAATGGTTGATTGTGGGACGATGATGCATTGAAATTATTCACGTTTCGTTTTGTTTTTTTTTTGTGCTTTGTCTTGGTAACATTAATTGAGCTTTATGCAGATACGTTTCAATCAGATGAAACAAAGGCCATCGTCATTGTCAATGCGAAAAAAAGAAGGAAAAAACGGAATCGATGGCGTTTGATGCGTTTTCGTTCATTATTTGGTTTCGTTGCTTTATTGTCGTCGGGTTTCGTGCATTCCAAATTAAACATGAATTGGACTGTCTGTCAAAACACATGACTCAACAAACGTAAACCGGACTGATGGCGTCGCCAGTTTGTTTCTTTTTTTTCGGTTGTTCTGTGTGTAGCTCATACAATAAACACGATAAAATACATACGTATAAAAAAAAAGAACGTTTTGAGATATTTCAGTACCTCACAACACACTCGCGCACGGTCTGTGTTCGTCTTTGAATTTATAAATTTAATGCTATTTTTTTTTTGGTTCGTTAGTAATCTGGTTGCCAAACAAAGCCTCTTTTCGTGGAATCGCGTTTGTTAAAATTACGCTGATAATTTTGGTGGCAATGTTCCCTTGTCACGCCAATGGAGGAGCCTTTTTTTTCAAACTTTACTTCTGATTCCTCTCGTCCTCTTCTCTTCGTCACTCAATCAAAACACTGCCAAAAACCCAGAGAAAAATCACAATTTTAATTAATCAATTCGAATAGCGAAATGATGAAAGTAGGAAGTGACACATAGAAATTTAGAAGAGGAAAAAAATCCACAGCGATACACACACAGTGAGCGAGAGAGAATAATAATATGTTGATCAGTTGCGGTGCTTACGTCGTAGCCAACAAGCAACAACGTATTGAATTGCGCGGCGATTAAGGCAAATTGAAAATCATACACATTCACCACAACGACGACGACGACGACGACGGCAACAGCGACGAACGGTTCTTATTATTTTTAAATTGTATCAATAACGTGATTTCTTTTATAATTGTGTAGGCAATAAAAAAAACAATTTTATGCATCGGTTTTTTTTTTTTGAAGAAACGTCCTAACGCTTGTGGCTGTGTGCGCTATCAGCTGGTTTCAAATATACACAATGTGAAGTAAGTTCGGATCATATTCACAGCTGTCTGTGTATGAGTATTTTCGATTTCACAGAAACGAGATCGACGAGAAAATTGCGCGAGACCAATAATTTCGAGCGAAATGAACCGTTTTTTTACATAATTTTGTCGCCTTGGTGCTCGAAGCGTGTATACGTTGACATAAAATGATGAAATTCTAATTTCGTCGAAACTTTTACGAATGCGTCGCAATCAGATGACTGATGACAAATGCCACGAAGTTAATGTCAATGCGAAGAAGGAAAATAAAATGCGTTGGAACCGAGACACAGTTCGTTGAAAAACCGATTTTGCGTCAATAAATAAACACACGGCTACTTTTTATCTATGCAACTTTTGAAAAACACATACAGCATTTGATGCGAAAATAAAATTGTCTTTCCACACGAACAAAACAACAACAACAACAACAGCATAAATATGTATATATACGGAGAGAGTCAGAACACTTTCAGTTGCTCTGAAGATTTGGTTGTCATAATTTATGGTTGTCGCGTTTTGATAGCTGCACAACAACGTGCTCCATCAAATTCATTTCGACGGAGTTTTCGAATAAAAAAAATAAATAAACGAATAATACAAATAACATATATGTTTATCGTAGAACGCAATTTAATTCTGGTCTAATACATTCATGCCATACACACACCTACATCTATTTTCACTTGGCATTCATGTGTTCTCCTTTTATTCGCTTTCTCTCTATGTCTCTTGCTCGCTCAATTTTGAATCGATCCACGGCCACAGGACCATAAACATTTCATAGTTCGCTTTTTTCGCCTACTTTTGCTTGCTTTTTTTCACTTTAAACCAAATCGCAATGTTGAATTGAACCAAAGAAACAAACAGAAATTCACAAAATAACAACACACAACTAACTCACACGGGCCACGAGCTTCAGGCTGCAATCTCTCTCGTTTTCAAATACACTGTGTTTTGCAGCTAAATTTTCATTTCCGTTCTGATTTGCTTGCTGCTACTTTTTTTTCTTCATCTGTTATGGTCTATGCGCGTTGAAATATCTATTTAGGCTTTAAAACACAAAATACGTACAACTTTATTTCAACATTCGCTTCGATTGTTTGTGATTTTATTTTGTTTCGTTTGTATTCAGTGACGGCAGTAGTCAACAAAATAGCACCCGCTACGAATTTGGTCGGGCGACATTTTGCATACACACTCTCGACTACACTCAATATCAACTCTCGACAACGAAAACGACGACGACGTCGAAAATTGTGCTATCGCGCTTATGTGTTTTCTGTACGTTGTGCTGTCTCCACCGACAGAAATTTATTCTCTGTCTCTCCTTCTGGTTTTGCTTCATTTTTTCGTCTTGCGTTTCACTACGCGCGCTCTTTCACTTCAGTCTCGCATATATAGACATTTGCGAACCGTCGCACACAATATCTCTCTCTCACACACAAAAATAAAACATGTGCAATGAACACTTTTGACATTTGCTGAGAGAACGAAGCCAGCCAAAAAGAGAGAGCGACGAAGTGACAGAGTGAGAGAGCGAGCTTTGTTTTCAGTTTGTGTTCTCACTTGATTCTCTTATCTTTTGTTGTCTGTGCATATGACAGCGACACTCAGTAGCAACAAAAAATGTAAATAAATACGAATTGCATCGCAAGCGTAAATGTCACACTGTAACTGAATCCGATGAAAAATAATTAATACCAAGACCATTTCGTTATTACAATTTTATTGTAATGCGTCATTTGGATTTAAAAACAAGAAATTATCGTAGAAAAATTATCAAATTTATCCTCATATCAATGTTTCCGAAACAAGTTCATAACGCAAATGTCTGTTTGGTGCGCAACACAACTCAACTCAACTCAACGCAACGTCAAACGTAAACGTCGGACGCGGCCAACTTCATGCCATGCAGCTGTCGCTGTTGTCAAGTGTCAAACAACAACTATTATTAATTTACATTGAAAAATGGCAGATTCCGACGAATCGGTTGAATTATTGTTTTTTGATACATTTTCCCATGATATTAACGAGGTAATTTATAGTGAATCGATTGATCGCGAAAAATTGCATTGCATTCAAGTGAAAATATGAAAATGCCTATCGAATTGACGGTGTTTTTTGGATTTTAGTTTGGCATCATAAAACCTAACCTCAAATGCATGTAGTAGATATTGTTTATGGCTTGTGTTTTAATTCAAATCGTTTGTGCGTATTTTTTCCATTGTTTTAGGATTTGAATTTGGATTTGGTGCAATTTCCGCAACCAGTTTATATAGGTGAAGTTCGAATCATACCGTTGGGTGCACGAGTACAAGCCGATTTTCCGGGCGGTGTACGATTGGGTGCGACAAATCCATCCAAATTTCATATACAATTGTTTGTGAATGACTTGTCAAAGCCGGGCGCATCAACATTTGAACGCTTAGGTGATTTTGAATACAATCAAAATGATTGCATAAATTATGATGCAAAAGCGAATACAAACGGTAATGGTGAACGGACACGACAAATACCAACCGATGGTTTAGTGTTGCGCGGCAGTTATACAACAATTACATTGGCCGTGTATGGGTCGTTAGCAAAAGATGAAATCAGTGAGCAACCAATTAGTTCACCGCCACCGCCAATTGTGCCAATTGAAGAGATTTCCAATTCAATTGGCAATGATGATAAAGTTGAAGCGGCTCATGTTAAATCAGCCATGGATTTTAGTTCCTCGCTCGCCGATCGTGAAACCTCCAAAAAGATTTTCTTCGGTAATGAATCGAATGCGGAACCAATTATCCCAGCAAAAGTGTCGATATCAGATTCAGCGCGACAGTACACCGAAGATTGGGTCGCTTCCACGGGTAATGTTACGGTTGCACCCAGTTGTGTGGATGCAAAATCACCAGATATTGACAATTGGGATGTGGACGAAGATTTGAACAAAACAACGACAACAATTTCATCGCCACGCTCAGGTCGACGGTCACGATCGCCAGATTCACGTAGACTGAAACGAGACTGGTCGAAAAGTCCAGAATATCGACGACATCGACCATATGAACGAAGTGTTTTGGATAAGAAAATACTGAAAACACGAGAGTATGTTGAATCACGACGATCTCCACCGCTGAACCGAGCACCAAGAACACCATCCCCTGAACATATTCAATCGCCCAGCGATACGCGACGACCACGAACTCCTGAAAGTCATTTGTCAGATGATTACGATAAATACGCGAAATCAGTTCAAAGTCCACAATCAGTGACTGAAGAAGCGGACAACGAAAAAGCCACCACAGCCGTTAGCTCAATAGCACCCACTGAACCAGACGAGGACGCTATGTCACAAGGTAAGTTTAGTAATTATTCATTTTTATTGGCTTTCCGCTAACGTTTTTTCTATACCTTTAGGTGAACCATTCGAGCCAATTTTGAGTGATGACGAAATTCCGGATGATGCCATTGACCAATATGAAATTGACTATGAAGATTCGGATAATTCCCTGTATTCAGCGCTCAAACACTTTAATCCGTTCACCGAAGAAGTGAAACACTATATTCCGGTTGATGAAAAAATGAGCGCAAACGCTCGTGAACTGGTCGAATTGGCGACTAAATGTTTGCATCGATCCAAATTAAAGGAGAGTGCCAGCATTGAAAAGACATTTGTCGAGTCACAATCGAACGAAATGCGTGAAAATTGGGTACATGCCGCCGAACAATTGATCCAAATCATAAACTTAATTTATAATTTGGCGGGAGCGACACAGTCTCGCAGTCAACAAACGTTAAACAGTTTGGTTGTACTGAACCGTCAACAATTGGTGGATTGGATGCGAATCGGATTGAATTTTGAGTGTGCAAATTCGCAACAGCAACCCGGGTACAAGATTCGACACATGAAATGTGGCCTGCGTCTAATTGAAATGTTGGCGGTGGACGAAACATTCATTGAAAGTCTGGTGTTTAAAGAGAAATTCAATGTTTTTGAGTATTTGTATAGGCTGTACGAACAAAAATTTATGGCTCTATCGTTGAAACTTATGATTTGTCGCGCGATTTTCGCATGTTTGGACACAAAAACCGGCATTGACTTCTTCACCCGGTTGAATGGAAGCGATGGTGTCAAACCAATCAGTACTGATAATGGTTATCAAAAATTGATTCGACTCTTGCAAGAAAACCCATTGACACGGCTGAAATTCCCACTGAAAGCAATCTTGAAGAAGGTCAATCTGTATGAATCACTGCAAGTGATACGCGACATTGTGAATCGACGATTCATTAAGAGTGATATTAAAATGGAAGTGGTTGATGATGATGATGAGTATGAAATGGCACCCGATGCAAAACTATTGAAAGATTGCTTGAACGAAGTTTGGTCCGCATTCACATGGGATGCACAAAGTTACTCGCAACCAAAACGATTTTTGCCTATCTCAACGAAATTCGAAAAAGTTTTGGATTCGACCGCAAATAAAATGGCTGCGAATAGTTTTATTCGATACTTTCGCATAAACGGATTGATCGAATCATTGCTTATGATTATCTCGCAAAGTGCCAACAATGACATCATTTCGGAAGATGTGTTTGATGTGACGCTATTAATTTTGGAATCACTGTGCCGCACCGAATGTGGCTTGAACTATTTGAGTGAAAAATCCGAAGTGACTAATGTACTGATCAAGTGTTTGATTCAAGCACCGCTTGACGGTTATCAAACGGAAGATGTTGAAATGAATGAAATCGACTCAATGGCCAACACCACGCTGGATGCTACGGGTGAAGTGGACGAAGATTCGCGAAGATATCAGTTAGGCATCGAAATCGCTTATAAGGTTTGTGAATATATCTTTGGAGGTGAAAATTCAATATTTTGATATTCTAAAGATGATTCCGATTTTGATTTTTTTCAAAATTGAATAGAAAATTGAAATAAGAAACTAAAGAATCGCTTCTCTTCCACAGATCAAAACGAAATTCTACTTGGACGCAATCGCCGATTTGCCGCCAAACTGTGATAATCGTGAAGAGCAACTGACTGAATATTTTCACGCATTGTACAGCCTGGCGGTGGCTGACAATTACATCGGCCGCAGTTATGTAATCGAGACAATCACAATGAATGGCAATGTCATCACGATTCTAAAGCAAATTGAATACGAGAAAAAGAAGATAAATTCGGCAATAAAGCAAAATACGACCAACGACACAACGAAAAATGCCACAGAGAACTCGATATCCAAGAAATCTCCAATCCTCTCCTACGCTGTTGATTTGATAGATCTAACGATTCGGCATGCCACAACGAATTTAGAATATTTGCGACAACATGGATCGGTTTTGGTGAACTTGGTGAAATCGCATGATCAATTCGACGACACAAATATCTCACAAATACTGCAAGAGACGGCGATTTTCTTAAAACCACTCCAAATCCAAAATGTATTTTCCTACGACAACATAGCGCCGTTGTGCGATGTGATCAAACGAAGTTTGGAATTTATCACCACATTCCCGGGTGATTTGATCATGGCATTGCGTATCATTCGATATTTATCATTGCCCGATACGTCGACATTCAATGACGGCACTGATTTCACGGATACATTTGGTGATGCGGGCGCAACGAACAAATTGAAACTGCCAAAAGAACAGCATCAAGTCGAGTTGAAGTATAAATTTGTTATTCTACAATTTTATTCGGCCGACGGGATATCGACGTGTGTTCAAATTTTAGACAAATTAACCACATTCTTCGCACAGCCATCTGTTCACATCGCAACGCTGGGCTCAACACAAGGTCAAATGCTCACGCAAATTCTTTTGCCCACGATTGAAATATTGCGCAAAATGCTGACTTATGTCATTGACTGTCGAAATACGGAATTCAAGGATTTAACCGCGATCGAACCGCTTCTGAAGACCTACACATTGGTTTCATATGTGCCCGTCCAATCGATAGCCGCCGATGATGCACAATCAATTCAAACGGAAATTGTTAAAACATTGCTGGCTTACACGCAACCAACACCAGCCGATGGTGTTGACACGGAATCGGTGCAGAAGAGTCTCTGGACACAAATGCTGGGCGAACTGTGTAAATACATTATGAATGGACCATTTACTATATTGCCCGGATTGTCGATATTTTCGCAACTTTTGCCCGTTACTTTGCCAATTTTGACCAAAAATCAACTTACAAGCGACGAACAAAATCGATTGATCACCGAGCGTCAGTTGTGGTCGGCTCATTTGCATCCGCAAAGCAATGAAATATCAGCACTGATTCAAGCACTTTGCGTCTCATCATATGGTCCGTTGATTGATTTATTGAGTCGCACCAGTGGCCAGTTATCAGATTTAGCGCCGAATATGGCATTGCTCGTCACAAAAGCAGTCGTTGAATCACTATTAAACGATGGTAGCTCATCGATACTAACGACGACCAATGTTCAAAATGGTTCAACAGCAGCAACGCCTCAAACAGTTAGCAGTTCAACAGGGGCAGCTGCAGTAATAAGTGCGACACAAACACAAACGCAGCTTATACTTGCCTACGTGAATCCGTGCACAAAACGCATTTTTGGATTTTTAACAAACATTTTGTGCTATGCGCCCGTTAAAGTGGCCTTTTTATCGATGCTCCATGGAAAAGTGTTTGAATTGCTGATCAAAGTGCTGGCCGTAAAATCTACATCAATCCCATCGAATTTGTTGACAATTTTGAATCAGGAACAAGAATCGGTGTTAATGATATTCCACACGCTGTTAAATGGCGACATTTCACTCGTCAGTCATTTTGAGTACGGCGTCAACAACAAGACGGCGACAACGACGACAACACCATCGGCCGATTTAATCGTTGCTTGCTCAATACCACCAAAGGATTGCTACATTGGCATCTTATCCGCTGTGCTCGATTGGTTTTTCATCGTTGACGATTCGCTCAACACAACCGGCTGCCAATTTGCTGCCATGAAAACAATGACCCTCGCCACAAACTACGAGTAAGTATTATAGACGACGATCTAGTTTATCAAATTCCCTCTTTATTTTTTTTCATTTCCCTTCTTTTCGGTTTTTTTTTTTGTTTACATTTTGTCGTTGTTTTTATCACAATGTAAGAGAGCAAAAAAAGAGAAAAGAGATTTTATTTAGCGTAGCCAAACGATTTGTTTGCTTGGCTTATTTTTCTTTCATGTGAAAAACAGATCATTCATCGTGCAATAAAAATAAAAACACACACAATAGATTCGAAAATTCGGTTTGTGCGCACCGTGTGCTGCTGTGTGCACGTTGCAATATGAGAATTTCCACAGCAGTTCGAACTCCCTCTCTCTTTCGCTCTCTCGCTAACTCGCTCGCTTGCTCGCTCCGATATACAATTCTCGACGCGCGCGGTGCAAACATTCTGGCGCTTTTCTCCATGTTATGAAACGCGCGAGAGAAAAGAACGAAAAAAAATCACGAAGAAGAATTTTCAGTAAGGAAAAATAAGAAGAAAATCGACTAAAAATAAACGGGCCGTAGAACACACAAAGAGACACAGAGAGAGAGAGAGTGCGGAAAATTTATCGCATATCATTTTGGCGGTTGTGCGACGAGTTGTTCCTAGCCGGACGACACACGCATTCAATTGGCAAAGCATGAGGGCACAAGAGACAGGCACACAGCGAGAGATACGGCTGCGATCGGTTTAAATGAAAAATGGGATAGCAAGACGCCAACAGAGAATAAGAGTAGAGATTATATTCCGTGCGGCTGGTAGTTCGTTGTAGAAAATGATCAAAGAGCCGACGGATCGCAAGTAAGATCATCAGTCGAATTTCAGAGTCGCTTCCATGCGCACACGGAACCATTATAACGTGAAGTTTTCGAGAATAATTTTCGAATCATTTTTCAAAAGTCTTTTTCTTCTTCTGAGAATTCTATTTCGAACCTTCTCTCCGTGAGAAGAATTCGATCTGTCTTTGTTTTTTTCTTTGCTTGAAGTGTAACAGATCGTTCTGAATCACAAAAGTTTCGCGTTTTATTTATCGATTTGTTTGCACACGCGAAACATCCATCAAAAAAAAAAAAACAAACATAAAATCAATCGAATTTGTTACGTAAATAAAAACAGAATTGGATAGAACAGCAACGATATTTGAATTGTTCTCTCGCAACGCAGATGAGATCGCCTCGTCTAGTAACCGAACAAGAATCTCGCAATCACAAGATTGAAGCAAAATTTTGGGAAAAAAATCAGCGAAAATAAATAATTTATAAATGTGCCAAACCGCAGAAAAACAAAACACTTGAACGGAAAAGTTTTGTGAAAACGCCAGGAATTCCGAAGTAAAAACAGTTTAGTGTATGCACGATTTGATTGCTGATTGTAAAACTAGCTCTGTGGATTGGGTGGCCAGTGTTGAAATTGAATGTGATCACCGTGGGTATACCCATAGCAAAACAAGACTTAAATGTATATTCCGAAAAGTTTAACGGCGATTAAATGCGTTTCAAACACAAACATCGATGCACAGTTTAATTTAAAGCAGAACAGTGGAATTGAAGGTCGCTGACAAAAACCGCAGAATCGTTGTGAATAACAAAACAAAATCACACATTCTCGAAATTGAATCACGGGCGGAGCACGCAGGCAACACAATACACACGATGTTTTCATCATTAAAATTATTTTGTTTACTTTCGAGTGTTTGGCATGTCAGTGCAATGACAGTGGCGACGACAACCGTCCGCATCGACGATCACATAGTTGAGGCGACAATAGCCGATGTCCCACTAAATCTTGAACAGTTTTGCTGGTCAGAACCGTCGGATGGTTGTAGTATAATTGGCAATTTCACGCACAATACAAACGGTTTGAGTTTTCCCGTGAACATTGATTGCTCAACGATGAATCGCCGTGATAATGGTGGCACTGAACTGCAAAGGACACACTCTGACCAGTATATTTACAAGCATTTCCGACACGTTGAAGTGATCGCATTGAATGGATGCGGTGTTAATGTGGCCCATCGCCTGCGAATGGGCAACTATAAAAATCTACTTGGCATCGAATACATACCCGATCCCATGAATGTTCGCTATCTAACGTTGGAAATGTTTAAAGTTTATGGTGATTTGAATCGTGGCGCATTTTTTCAATTCAAAAATACGCGAAGCCTTCTGTTGACCCATAATAAAATTGATCGCATGACTGAAGGCAGTTTAGCTGGGTTGACGCAAATGGAAGAGATGATTTTTCAAGAAAATAACATTCGGTCAATGCACCCGGCGACATTTATTCCGTGCAGTGATTCACTTGAAAGACTTGTAATACAAGAGAAACACCTCAGTCTCGGCGAATTAGAACCGTTAAAAAAACTGTCGGAGCTTTGGATTTCAACGAAAGAACTGGATTGGGTTTCGTTGAGCATTGGATTGAATTCATTGAATACGGCGACCATTTCAAATGTACAAAATGTGTTGTACAATAATACGGCGGAACCGCGAACATTTTCCAATTTAACCAAAATGGATGTGAAATTGTGTAATTTAACCGAGTTTCCCATCGATCGATATCCACGATTGCATCACTTTAACGTCAGTCACAATCGTTTGTCGAACGTATCAGTCAAAGAGATGCAAATGCTGGGACTGCACACACTCGACATTAGCCACAACCAATTCAAGTGCATCGACATCTCGTTGCTGTCCAGCCTCTGGGATTTGGAGTATTTTTACGCAACACACAATCAAATCATCGCTGTCAATCCGAAAGCATTCCAGAAAAATTATTATATTAAAGTGATTGATCTTCGATTTAATCGTATCAAACGACTGCCAGTTGATTCGGCAATGTTTTTGACCGCAATGCACGCACAGATCATTATCGATCACAATAATTTCGATTGTGCTTGGATCAATGATTATTATGGATCGGATCCAAAACTGTTCACAACCAAATTCATTTATGCCAAAGATTATTCCGATGTCAATATCAAAGGGCTGCGATGTACGTATTTCAGCGGAGACTTTCGTTACCATTCACATTTATACGATGATGATGAATTCCACAATGGACTGAAAACGGGCCGACCACCGCATCCAGTCGAAATATTACGGCGCAATCCACGGCACACCGCCTTTTTGACCATTTGCATTTTAGTGGTTGGCGTATCGTGCCTTTTGATCTCACTTTTTTTCTACGTGAAATATCGCACACTGACCTCAACCTTAAATTCAAATTCAATTTACGGATGGGATAAGCAAGAGCAAAACAACAAGGACAAATCCATCACCACCACAGCCAATGAAAACCATCCTGATATCATTCAAGATCGCATGATGTCAACAAGGCAATTCGAAACGGCGAGTCGTTTGATGCTACCGAAATCAGCATCCAGCCCGAGGTCGATCGAACTAATAGAAGATCAAGCTAACATTGAGTTCAAGGATTCATTTGGGACGATATCGGAATGGCGCAAAGCAAGCCTGCCGAATCACAATTTTGAATCGGTGCCAATTGGAATGCAAAAAGTCGTTTTTAACATCGAACCTGATACCCTTGTGAATTAGACGAGCGAAAATCTTTTGTGATTATTACTAGGATGATGAGTTTTTTTTTATCCTTAAGATAAATATCTTTTCTTTGCGTTGTGATGTGTTTTTTTTTCTCGTTCTTCTCTTTTCGCATTGAATGCGTGTATCGTTGTTGTTTTGTAACTGAGAAAAAAACAAAATGAAGTCATTTTTACCAGGTAATTTTCTAGAGAAACAAACCGACCCCATAAAATACTAGTTTTAATAAGCAATTTCTGTTTCGTTTTATATTGCTAGCTTTATAAAACCGTTTGCTTTGATGATCAAATAACATCTGTTTTCTCTCTCTCTCTCTGTTACAGTTACACAGCGTATCAGCTAAAAGTGTTGTTGGACAAACGCAAAGATCAGTTGCTGACGAAATTGCGTTCATTATCTCGATTGACGGACGGCGGTCAAATTGCTCATGAAATACTGGTGGCTTTTTTGCACTTTCTTTTATCATTGGCTCGTTCAGACGGAGTGAAAAGTGATCAGCAACGTACGTTTGCGTGCAATGAAGCCGAACTCACAAAACTTCTCCAATTCAAGCGAATTGCCAATGATGCCGATACTCCGAGTGAAAATCAACACCCACTGTTGGCACTTGAACAAAATTTACTGAAAATTCAGGCCAAACCCGAACAATCAGACGATGCTAAGGTGCATTTGGAGGAGATGCTATTCAGTTTGAAGAAATTGTTGAATACTCTAGACTCGGGTCTTGCGATCATCGCGAATTCAACGAAGGAATTGCTTCACGTTGACTCACCAGCTGCTGAACCATCGTTCCCACAGGGCGAAAGCATTGTTGCTCAATATTCAATGCGGCCCATCGTCAATATGGCTCCCAGTGAATTTAAATCAAATGACTACCTCGAACAATTGACCACACAATACTGGTACTCACATTTCGCAGCCAATCGCTTCGAAGAAATGATCGACACCCATTCAACGGTGGAAAATGTTCCATGCGATTTTATTGAAATGATCAAATCATGTTTGCCACCCGAAACAAATCTTACTAATGACTGCAAGCGACTATTACACTTGTCAGCATCACCACAATCGACCCGTGAACGCACCACATCGGCTCCATGCTTCCGAACGCGACGCGTTGAAGTTGAACCAACCACCGGAAGACCGGAAAAGAAACTGTACATATCGAGAGGCAGAGGTTTTTCACGAACGACTCAATCGCGTGGTGATCTCTTTCGATCGCGTCCACCAAACACTTCGCGGCCTCCGTCGTTGCACGTTGACGATTTTCTTGCATTGGAAACGTGTGGAGCACAGCCAACTGGGCCAACGGGATACAACAAATTGTCACGTGAAATTATTAGCATTCGCGGTACCAGAGGTGGCAGAGGACGTGGTCGACTACTCTCCTCAAGCTCGGCATATCGACACTCATCGTAAGTACTCTCTCAAAACCTACATTTTTTTAGCATTTTATTTGGCTCACACTTCTTCACACTTTTTTTGCTGGTTTTTTTCTGTTTTCTGATTTCAACACCTTTTGAGAGACAAAAACAAATAAATATTAGTCTATGTGCTCATAATAAATTTCTCTTTTTTTTAAAATAAAATCACACACTCATAGATTGCGACGAAATTCACCGTCTACGTGGGCAAACCATTCGATTAGTAACAGTGGTCAGCACGACAGTTCGGCGTCATCGGCACCGTCGCCGCATTTCCGTACAGCAACTTCCGAGCCCGTTTCATCGCACTTCCAATCCGATTACTTCAGCACACGAGGCAGACGTGGCAGTCTTCGACCGCCAAGATCATTCAATAAATTCAACTAATCGCCCGTCATCTAAAAATAATAATTTGAAAATGATTCTTTCGTTTTTTTTCCTCCACACACACACAAAATATATGATTTTTGATAACACATTTTCTATAACCTTTAGATGTTGGGTTCATAAAAAAAACACAAGCATAAAAAAAGAGAAAGAACATACACACACATAAACAATACGACAAAAGAATTATTTTTAATTTTAGTGATAGATTTACAATTTACGCATCACGCAAGGATGCGTGAAATTATTTGAATTTTATACAGTATATAATGTGAAAACAAAAAAAAACACAGACCGTAACCCATAGCAATAAATAAACTGCAAGATGAATTAAGAACAATAAACAGTCACTTTATATATATAAATTATTTGTTTTTCAATGGCTTTTTTTAAAAATTCAATTGGATCTTATTCACAGCTACGCATTATGTGCATGAACGACCTACTGAAAGAGGAATTGCGATAGAAACAGTACACATGATCTATTTTCATCAATTGACACACTTTCCGGCTAATGGCGATGAACAGGTGCTTCCATAATTTTGAAAATAAAAAAATTTCCTTTTTCCATTCAGTTTTCGGCGTTTTTATTGATTTGTGCGGGCGATGACTACATTTTTGGTGACACAATGAGTCCAAGAGAATCTTTTAGACAATGGAATATGAAACATACCAAAAATATATTAAAACCCAAATATTATTGAACGGAAAACGTAAAAAAATTTAATTCAGTTGTCATTAAGGTATCACATCACATCACATCTTTTTTTTTACTAAAATACTTATACTTTTGCAATCAATTAAGTCAACATCGTAAATATACCTCAAATTAGGTTCAAGACCTATAATAATACTTTGGAAACATTCATTATGATGTTATAAACGATTTCTGTTGATTTTTTTTACTAACCGTCACAACCGGTCACAATGGTATTTTGTAAAATCATTCCGATTTCGAAATTATTTAGATTTTTGATGGTGAAGTTGAATTTTCTTATGTGTTTGCTCGATTTTAGCTGGTGTGAAAAACTTGTCTGGATTTACCAATATACGGATATCAAAATGAACTTTCCCGTTTCATTCATATCGTTTCAAATCTGAACAGTTGCTAAATGGAACCAATTCGTTGGACTTTAAATCGTTGGAAAATTATTTTTCGGCATTTTTTTTCATTTGGTACTGTTATTGACCCGGTGTATTGGTTAGCAATCTGTTTGTTATAATCAGAATTCAGGCAGCATTTCGTGTTCTTTGACTTATTGTTTTGGAATCAGACGTGAACTTTCATCCAAATTCACTTCAAATTTAAGCTTGTAACTCGTGCAAATCTTTACAGATTCGCAAATTTGCCTAACATTTTTTTACGTCTAATGTTGAATTCTACTCTCTGATTAAACGCATGCAACGATAGCACAATACGTCCTTCTACAGAAATCGTCTGAATGAGCCAAAATTTTATGTATTCAAAAGATACACAATTTTACATAAGGATTTGTGACAAAAATTTAGGATCCGCAAATTGCAATGGATCGCAAGAGACAAATGCCACTAGATTACTTTTCCGTATATAGACCATACAACAATAGGACATATTTTGCATATGAATTTTAATGATAGATTTACGATTATGTCACGCAAGGATGCATGAAAACAATTTGAACAAAGGGAACCGTATTCTATAACAATAAATCAAATGCAAAATGAAAAAAAAAACAATAAACAGTCACTTTAAATATAAATTATGTGGTTTACAACGGATGTTGTTGTTTTCTTCAACACAAATGTGTGCGTGCGTTAATTGTGCGAAAAGGTTTTTTTTAACACATCACGTAAATACGCATCATAAACATGAACAAACCGATCGAGTGACAGAGAGAATCATGGCTATTTCGCTGAACCGATGAAACATGCTCTATTTTCATCGATTGACACACATTTCAGCCAATGGAATCGGCTGCTTTCACAATTATAAAAATAAAACTCATCGTATGATGAATCACACACTCAAGTTTTGAAAACTTTCAGTTCCTGTCAACGAAAATTATCTTTCTCTCTTTCGAAGGAACGTAAAGGAAGAAGGCACTTTGCTTGTGAATGACGACGCTCATTCCCATCACGACAGTTCATAAACAATCATTCTATTTCGTGCTGTCATTCAGTTTCAATGTTGTTGGTTTTTTTTTCTTCATTCGTATATATGTACGCGTCTAAGCACAGCCCATGCCGCATATGTTTTTCATTGTTTCTCTTTTGCGTTTCAATTCTTCGCCGCCTTCGTCGTCGTATTCATTATCACGCTACCAATCGTCAGTGCGGTCGATTCGTTTACTCATACGTTCATCATTCACCGAACGGCATGCTTTGAACAACAGCACACACATCGATTCTACGCCGCATTTATGCGCTCCTATTCAATAAAACAAATGTTTATACGATTTTTATGAGACTATTTTATTGGCAAATGGATAAATTTCATATCGTATATGATGTTTTCATATATTTCCTGAAAATCCGTTCGATTTTTCTCCTAATCACCTACACATTTCGCATCTAAGTTCCTTTTTTTTCTCTCTCGAATTCATTTGTTTATTTTGTTTGTGTTTTTTTTCTTCAATTCATTCATAGTTGAGCTGCTTGTTCCATCACCTACGTCAACGACATTTCTTTGCACCAGTTGTCGTTGCGCGTTCATGTTTCACCGTCTCGGTCATCGAATTGAGTTAGAGTTCATTGATACCTAAAGCACTCTCACTCAAACGCTTTGGCTAGCCAGTGTTTCACTTAAAATGTAATACACCCAGAACAGGCGCCCAGCATATGGAACACGTATACAGCCGTTTAGGTTTTGAGTCATAAAGCCGCTCAGTGGTGATATTCAGCTAAACGTGCAAAGTTTTGATGAGCCAAGCTTTTGCTGGAATATAAACCATTAGCCGACTTTTAGGCGTTTTTTTTCTGGTTTCATTTCGAATAGTTTACTCACTTGTAAATATGGTTTGCGACTACTTACACGGAATACGCTGTAAACTGGGAACACACGAACGTTTTCATGTGGCATATGCACGCCTGGTAAAAATTTCCATGCGGATCGTATGGACGTTGAGTTACAGCGATTGTAAATTTTTTTTTTCTGATGCGATGCAGTTACCACGTAGTATTGATTCAACAAACAAACAAAATGGTAAAAGGTTTGCTTTGCGCGCTGTACACGCTTTAGTCTCCATTCGCAATGGCGAAAAAAGGTGGTGTTCAACAATTGCAAACAGAAATCAATACCAACGATGAATTGGCGAAGTTTTTGGATCGAGATGGATTAATCGGTTTGAAAAATCAACTATTTCATTAGGGAAAAATTGGAGAAAAAAAACGGTTTTGAAAAAAGAACGAATAACTTTCTAAGTCTATCTCTTCCATGTGATTAGTTTTTGACGTGTTTACGGAATGGTGTGGCCCGTGTTTGGCAATGATTGGAAGCCTAAAAAAGATTAAACTCGAGCAGGGCGGCGATGACCTGCATTTAGCCATTGTAAGTCATTTTCTGGACCACATATTACGTTTAAATACTGGGGAAAAAAATTCAATTTCAAAGTGTTCACATTTTCAAACTTTGACCAAATTACGTGCCGAAACTTGAAATCAATATTTGGCAATATTTCACGTAGTTTTTCTGGCATTTTTCCCATTTCTCCCTCAAAAAAGGTAAAATGCGATAAAATCGATGCATTCGAACGCTTCCGTAATAAGAGTGAACCGACATGGCTTCTGGCATCGGTAAAATTGATACTTCAATTTCTATATCAACCAACAAAATGAAATCGAACCAATCGAGACAAGTAGCATGTTTTTTCGTTAGATATTGTTTCGCTCTTTGATTTCGCAACCAAAACTATAGCTTCGTTTAATGCGATTTTGTATTCGATATTTCAGAAAGGGAAATTAGTGAATTGTGCTTTCGGAGCGAATGTACCTCATTTGGTTGATTTAATTCTAAAAGAATTGGATACAGAGCGTCGAACTCGTGCCGCTGATCCCGAGACATCTGGTCGAATATATTATGAGTTGACTGAAATGACCCCCGTCGAACGCGTTCGATACGATACCATACAAAATGAGGAAGAAGAGAATGAACGGATCGAAGAAGAATCGGCACAACGGCGACAAATTGAGTATGTAACATTCGTTACGGATCAAGTTATGAAAAATTCAAACGATATGGGAGTGACACTGTTAATGCCGCATGTAATCAGCCGTGATTTGTTGAAGCGTTTATCAGATCCGGCTGATAAATGCCATTTAGTCGCCAAAGATAAGAAAAATATACAAATTTCACGGGATCACATTGAAATTCTGGACATTTGCAGTGCCGATTCAATGTCGCCACATTTGGTGGATCATATTTTAAATCGCGATGTGTTTGCCGTTTGTTGGAAAGTAACTGATACAAACGCAGATGGTGACCGAAACGTTGAAGGTTCATTTCAATTTATTTATAATTAAATCGTAAGATAAATCACATTTGTATCGTTCGTTTTTTGTTTCCATTGGCGTAGAATACCTGAGCACATTTTCGCATTTTGTGTGGAATGAAGAAGAGACGACGAATGGAAACACTTCAATACTCAAAGCACTTACCGTGGTCATTGAAACGGAAACGAATGACGATGATGAAATGAACGAACAAAGTGACATCGAACCAGAGAAACCCATCGAAGAGCCAAAGCACAAAGAAGATGAGATGGAAAATGATAAAGAGGGTAATGGTGAAAAGGAGGAAGAGGACGAGGATGATGAGAAAAGAGAAAGTGGTGATGATGGTGGCAATGATGCAGATCAAAACGAAACTGCAATCGAAGAACAAGAAAATAAACAAACAAACGACACTAACGAACATCCAAGTGAACAAAATGCAGAAACTACACCTGGTAATAATGATGAATCGGAAGAGAAATCCAATAAAAATGATGAAACTAAAAGCAGCGCTAGAACTACACCAATTACACCAATTACAACTATCAAACGGAAAAATCAAATCGAAATAAAAATCCCGCCGATCTGGACGCCGTCGGAGAAACGTGCAAATGCCGCGTTGATTTATTTATACTTTCGAACAGTAAGTTACTTTGCGACGGAGTACGTTTTTTCCCCTTTTACTCTATGATTGAGCTGTTCGCTTGAAGTAATTAGGGAAGAAAATAATTCACATCTTCGAAATGAAATATCGATTTTTGTTACAGATGACAGAAACTTATTTGCCACCCGACCCACCCGTTGAGAGACCACACTTAGCAATGGGTAACTTTTTATATTATAATTAACATAGTTTTTCAAGTTTAGCGGAACTATTTTGGTTTCCTTCAGAAAAACTCTGGAACGGTTTTGGGCTTCTCATTTATTCTCGTGTTCATTTTAATTAGCAAAACTAGCGATGAAAAATTGTTTTTTTTTCTTCTCATGAATCAACGTTTGAAAAACTGTTGCACGTGAAAAATGCAATTCCATTCTATTTACTTAACAATCGTTAATTTCGTTAAAATGCATTGAGGACGATTCTTCATGGAAGAATCGTCTTTTGAAGTCCCAAAATTCGAATTTCTCACCATTTTCCAGTGTTCGATGCGTATAAACGTCGCGAAATTATGGAAGTGATTGAAGAGTATCGAGACGATGTGCTTGCCTACGGTTATTTTACAACGGATAATTGCCACACGGCCCAACTGATTGCCACCTCAACGTTCAATTACCATAAGAATCCTCCAACAATGTAAGTCATATTGTGCTTAAAATATACAGCTACATTGTTTTTGTACCGATAATATGTGCTTTCCGTTCCGTCCGTTCAGTTTTGACAAATTCGTTGTAAAAGTGGCAAAAACAAAAGCCTCGCCCATTCTGATGGCATTAAAAAAGCTTGGACCGAACTACATCAGCAAGAATACGGAGGTTGGAAAAAGTGAATGTTTATTATTCTTTCCACCTGGTTATAAAAATTCATCGGAAACCGGTGAAACGACGCCGGTTCCTGTCGATGAAAAGCCGAAAAAGAAAAAGAAGAAGCGCAAGACCAAACAGGGCTCCGACGAGGAAAATGAAAACAATCAAGTGCAAAATGCTGCACAAGCTCCGACTGACGTTGAAATCGCAGACGAGCCCGAAGATGGTACCGAACAAGACGACGATGACAGTGGCGAGGACGATGACAGTGCAGAGGGGAATGAAATGGGAAATTTACCCGAAACGTCTGATCCATGAACGAAATAAAACGACCGGGATGCTCTTTTTCAAAAACAAAACACAGCCGTAAAAAAAAGCACCGAGAACTTGCGCGCGACTAATTTAATTTTTTTCAATTTATTTCCACCACCCACTTCCAACGCTGGCTGTTACGATGACGAAGAAAATGCTCAATGGCAAATCCGCTTTGTGTGCTTTAACAAGCGATAACGAAGCCGGCTCGACTGCGTTCGGCATACAGCAACTGAAAAGATGTTTTGTTAAATTAGAACGGAATTCCATTGTTATTTTCGGTATTGTGTAGCAACATCCAGCAAATAACATTTTACTTTGTGTCGCTTTCATTGCGTTAACTTCTTCAAAACTTTTAAATGCACTACTTTTGTATCAAAATGACTCCAGCATTTGCACCAGCTCCATTTAGACCAATTTATCCACTGGGCAGTGAATGGAAAAAACAGACAAAAGTGTAGACCAGAGAGGGAAAAAAATTGCATGAAAATGAGGTCATCCAAACCCAAATGGAGACAATTACATTGTTACGACGGAAAATGTGAGAGATGAGCAAAGAGAAATAAAGCAGATTCCCCAAATTGATTATAACGGTCACCAAGACTCTCACGATTAGATTCTTTCCACTTTAATACCCCTAAATGGCAACGAACGCGTACGTCTCTCTTTTGATACTGTAATCTGGTTTATGACAAAGTCTGCCATTTGAATTCATTAGCATAATTTTAATTTGGTTTATCTGATACGATTGATGTGCACCGCACAATGATTGCTTTTTCGAGATGGCAGAATCATCCTTAATAAGCTTAATAATGGCAATTTACAAAGGATTTTGAATCATCATAAATTGAGAGTTTGTTGACATTTGAAAATCATAAAATGGAAAATGATAGAAGACAATCGTCATCGATTTCTTGTTCAGTGTTTAAATTGCATTACGCCAAACGATTTTCACTCTAATTGGCCCATGCTTACTGAACAAGACCGATTTGCTGAAATTCATTTGAGCGGAAAATACAGCTGATTCAATTGCACTCCTATTCAGTAAAGCTCTTTCATTTCATTTTCATCGGATTACAGCCAAAATCGAAATCAAATCCCAAAAATAATCAAAAGAGATTCAATACTTGTTCGCTGTTTGAAAAGCCCTTGAAAAATTGAATAAAACAAATTGTTTCACTTTATCCGTCTGAGTGGATCAAGTGATTTTTTTTTCATATTGGTAAAAATTCATAACGCTTTCCATGTTGGTCATTAATATAACTATTTATTTGCATTGGAAATTCCATACAGTTTGTTTTTAAACAATAAAAATTGCCGATTTTATCGGTCGCAATGAATTTTAAATAACAAAATTATTGAAATCAATTTAATGTCATAATAATGATGATTAATCCAGTTTTCTACTGAATTAACTTAGACTTAGCCAATCAATTATTTTGTCCATTGAATTTAAATTGTTTCAGAATATTTTCATTCCTGGTACTAGTGACGGAACAAGTAATAAGAAATAATAAAATATTATACATGTAATTTTTTTCATTTTCCGCAATGATTAGATCGCTTTTCGAAGGAAAACAAAATCTTCTGTGTTTTTTTTTACAAGATGAATGACAACAATTCATTATTCACATTATTATGTTGAAATTTTTTTTCTTCATTAGCAAAAAATTTGCGAATTCAAAAAGAAAATCACTTTATCTCAATTTCTAGTACTTATTTCTGTGTGTATATTGTGAAAATGTGTTTATGATGTGTTAGATGGAGGCAATTTGTTTACAACGAAGAAAAAACACAAAACGGCCATTTTATTTAAATGCAAAAGAGCAGTTATCAAAAATTGAGGTGAAATATTGGATATTAATGAACGACCCCAAACAGTAGAAATTGTAAACTCTCCTCCTGATGGCCTTGAAAATTCTATATTCTATTTATTAACATTTAACATTTTCTTTTTGAATGAAAATCGAATGGATTAAACGTGTTTCCCCATTGAATTGATCGTTGCAGTAAATGCACTAAAATATAAATATTTTATCCACAGTAACAAGAGGCGAACAGTATTCATGGACACTTTTTGATGTACCATGAAAATATTCATCATGAAAAACATTTGTTCATCATTGCTTGGTATTCAGTGTTACTGTAGTGTGTTTTAAACCTTTTTACATTTTCAACAGTTTTACTGAGTCCATGTTTTTTTTAAATAGAAATCGATATTAATAGCAAATCTGCAGGCAAATAAATATTTAGAATCGGTTTAAAACAAACATGCCGTTTTTGTTCTTACTAAATGAACGCTTCAATTCATTATTCGCATAAATTGAATGAATAACATGTGTAATTGTTTGATGAAACAATCACACATCTGAAAATCATTTTGTCGGAAGCAAACACGTATGTTAAAGGCCTTGACATATGAATGAGAATTTCATTAGAAATTTAAGTTCGACCATAAAATTCCTGTTGAATTATTTTGTTACAATAAAATCATCGCACGAAAAGCAAGCGTGTTCAATTGAAAGAGAAATTTTGTTGAATTTCGATCTAAAAGCTAGACAGATCAGTTTGATTATCATTTTCGACATCTAACAATTGGATGTATACGAGGGTCGCTGCATAAGTTTCTGGCCTAACCTATTTCTAGTGTTTTCAGATGCAATCTGACGATTCCATCGGAAAGTTTGACATTTTTTAGGCTAAAAAACACTATAGCAGGGATTGTTTTACATTACTGGGTGTGTCTAAGCCTCCTTTCCAAGGGATACCTGGAAAAATCGTAAATTTCAACAATAAACTTCATTTTTCGATATGGGAAAAATTGATTATTCTGTTGTTAACCACCTAAAAAACTTCGTTTATCCTCAATTTAATAATTTCTGGCTAACGAAACCATTATTTTATATTTTGGGCCTGCAAATATTCGATTGAATGAAGGCATGTCAAAAGGTGAAAATTCATGAAGTGACAGATAGTTCCCAGTTTTTGGCCCATTTTCTGAATATTTTCATTCCAAAAATGTCCGCTTTATTCAGAATTCATGGCACTACAATTCCAAAGTATAATAACAGTCATGTAAATCATTTTTTCCCAGAACGAAGCATTGCAATTTGCGAAAATCGTCTGTTTTTTCAGAAATAAGGAAAATTTTCTGTTATTTTCAAACACGATACTATCACTAAAACCTTATGGGATGACATGCTATACTCATAAATGATAATTTTGTAATCTCTAGTGACGATTGAGGGTTTTTCAGCCTATCAAAATTGCATTATTGAGAGTTTGTAGGCCTATTTTTGTCCAAAACTCTTTTTTTTGGTTGAAAACATATTTGGAGGTTTTGACATGTGAAAGGCATTTACGTCACTAAAACCACATGTAATATTGACCTCATGCATGTCATACTAATGCCAAAGGATGCCCCAATCTCACTATAAGTCGTATGAGAATATTCCACCTTTAGGTTTCGCACAGCATCAATGTGTTCCGGCGTTACAGCTGATATTTTACGACTTTCCTGCGGACTCATTTTTGAGTGAGCTTCGTCAACATTTAAAATCGTTATATCACCTCTAAATACTTGGAATGGACCGAGTTTTATCACCCAAAGCGAATTTGAGGCTATCACGGCACTCTTGTTGAGTTAGTCCCTCTCAAAAATCGGAAAAAATCATTGCACTAAAATGTTTGCGGAAAAATTCAATTTTTTCATCAAATTGAAATATTCAAGCTCATAAAACACCACGATCCGTAGTGAATCAACAGTTGACGTCTGAGGAAACTTAGCTTAAAAAAGGTCAAACTTTTTGACTGACCCAAAGTTTTGCTTCGGAAAACACTAGAACTAGGTTAGGCCAGAAACTTAAGCAGCAACCTACGTACCCAAACTGCCGCCGACTTCAGATTTCAGGGTTGATATATGTTTATATCTGTTGTACTTTGGGTGTCCTACAGTGTCATTTGAGAAATGTTTTTTTTTGCATATATGTAAATATTTTATCTCTCTTTCTTTATACCTGTTGATGTATGCACACGTACCGAATAAAAACTGGTTTACATTTCGAATCGATACTTTGCAAAGCATTGCGTCATCGATGAAGCCATCGAAAACCGAGAAGTCGCAAATTGTATTGTTACAAATTGTATTTGATTTTACACTGATATCAAAAATATTATGCAAATCAGTACTTACACAATCGCTTTGAATATTAATGCGAGGCAATGTTTGGTTCGAAATCGACATTGTCTAAAACTTATGTACTAGAAGATCGTAAATTGTCGTATGAAGATATTTTTACTCGCAATATGTTTTCAATTAAAACTTTTCATCGATGTAACTAGATAAAGACATGCAGTTCTTGACCCCGGTCAATCAGCCTTTCTGATCATGAAAATAGTAAACAATACAGCGCCGCCTGGGGACTAAGTGCAATGTGTCATACTTTCAACGTTCGAACTAACACAGACGCGTACTTGTTATAGCAAACTATATGCATGATTCTTTATTTTTCCAACCAGTCTCCAGGTGCCGCTTTATTTTTCTTGTTTGGCGTTTCCTATCTGTTTGTACAGACGATCAAAGAGGCTGGGTCAATTTATTTAAAGTCATTTTAATATACCTTACTAGCTAATCTTCAATGAGTGTATCCAAGTCTTCAGATCAAACGAAGAATAAAAGCGGCAAATCTGCTAGACAGATAATGATAATAAGTTATTTTACAATGCAATACCCAGTTGCCCAATACGGCTGTGTATTATCTAAACGAATACAATACTTGAATTCCGTTGAGTAGAGCACAACGCCACTGCAAGCGTCATTCTACTGACGTTATTTTTAGAACAATTTAGTTAAGTTCACTAATGATTGGTCGGATTTAATACCACACATGACTCCACTGAGTTGATCTGTAAATTTAGATGCGTGCGCTATTTGCTCATTTAATTAATTGAAAAACTGTAATTTTCTATTTTTATAAGATATGTGTCATTCAAATGCATTGCCATGCATTGCATGAGTTAAAGTGGTATTGCACAATAGACAGTATGTTGATTTGCACGACTGGTTGAATATTCACAAGAAAATAACAACAGAAACTGATTCATAGAGAAGCACACATTTTTTTTTCGATCCAACTGTACTTTATTTACTATTTTTATTCATAACGTATGGATATCAGATAAAATTACAGTATATTACATGCATCGAATGCTGTGATTTTTATATGCCTCAATTTTCGATGCACATTTTTATCTAAACGATCAAAATATCATAAGAAATTTTATGGGAATGCGGGATGGGAATAAAATCTGATGGGTTTCGAGCGATAATTCTCAAGTTGTGGAGTCTATTGTGTGAAACTTTGATAGATGGCTGAAACACTTGTCCCTGTACCAACAACGAGAGCAAAACAACCGAAGCATGCGATGAGTAAATTTTTGGTGACCATCAATATTCGTGATGTGCCATAAGTATCACTCCAAAATACACAAGTGTCAATAAAAGCAGGGAATATGACACCAAGAGTTGCTAAGCACAACGCACCAATTAATGATATGAATAAATCTAATTTGGGTATGGCAACTGCGAGCAAAACTGTTTTGCAAAAAAATGGAATTTTGAAAAATAAAAAATTGTTTGTTTAGAAAATATTTGTGAACACTTTTTTGTTTGACATAAAAGTGAGATCATTTTTGAATTACTTACAAGTTATTAGACAGATGAGAGTACGCACAACATATTCCCAGAATAATTTATAGCGATCGTTTGTGATTTTATTGACGATGTATTTGTTCCACGTCAAATCGATCGCGACATAGCATGCCACACCATGGGTAATAAAAATTCCTGGAATGAATACGATTTTTATTTAGATCATTTTTTTTTTATTTATAAGAGATAAATTTGTTCTAATACTAGAAGTAATTATTTACCAAAGGCAAGCATTCCTTTAACCGATTGTGCCAAGCTTTTCAATGGAAAGAAACATAAAAATAAATGAAGAAATAAATAATAATAATACTGTGCAAATGACAAATAAACTTTAGCTGTAAATGAATTGAACACGTTTTTTTGGTACTTACATTTCGTCTGTTTTGCTATTTATTTCCAAACTCAACGTAATTGAATCACGAATGGCATCCCCATATTTCAAGTAACCAAATAGACCTATTAAAACGTACAGGATCACAATAATTATAAATGCACGATTCAATACACCAGTCAGACCGACATACGATTTTGGTGTCTTCATCTCATTTTCGAGTGGAATTATCTAAGAAAAAATGCATTTTATTTAAAAATTATGTATAAAATAGTGTAGTATTTTCAAAAAGTTTAGTTATCATTTCATACAACTCCAATGGCTTCCAACGAAAAGAGTACGGTTCCGAAAAAGAATGGGAATTCATTGGCTGGGCCAAATGCTCGTTTACCTTCCAATGAAATCGGTTCGCGCACAATGAAGTAGCAAATTATTCCAAACGAAATGATGGTCACAAAATTGGCGAATGTTGACAATGGAGCCAAGTATTTATAATTTCGTATCTGTGATTTCAAAAAAATAAGTATTTTTATAATATTTATATTTGGATATTTTGAACTGGATTGTATGAGTATAAAGTGGGGGATCTATAAAGATCTATCGCGTAGTTCTTGATCTTTCGACAGTAACCCACGGCATTGATATCTTAGTTTTAGACAATACTCTGTCAATCGTCAGCCTATTCTTCATTACGAAGAAAAATTACACTTACTTACCCAGTTAAGGAAAATGATGGGAAGTAAAATGATGACCATGAATAGGCGTACATCGGTTGTGGTGTCCGTGGCATAGTCGACGATTGATTTTATATTTTCAGCTATGAAAACCACATAAATGCAACAGCCGCCAATTTGACACATGAGTAAAAATACCTTCGCTGTATGTCTGCCAGTTACGCGATAGAGAAAATGTTGAAAAACGTTCCCGTTTTATATATAGATCAATATGTTGAAATGTATTACTTAAAGAGTGGTGCAAATCTGTTAATGGGTCTTGGACCTTCGAGCATAGCATTCACAACGATCGTCGTGTAATCCATTTGCGGAATCTGTGGAACAAAACACATGAATAAATCAATTAAAGTTTTAAGACATCAAGCAATGCGTGAATTGTGTCTACCTTTCTCCGTTTGCACAGTTCATAATGTGATTTCAACAGCATTTGTACACAGTAAACACATATCATTCCAATCAAAAATGTCCCCACCGTCCCAGTTATGTAGCCAGCGTGGTAAATAGCCTACATTTTCGTTTATTATTATTAATTAAACCACTGAATTTTCACATTCTCCATTTGAATTTACCTTTGGCATGGCTAAAAATTTGATTTAAAAAAGAAACAAATGAAAGTAGAATCAAATTCACTAGAAATACCAGGCATACTCCGAAAGGAAGATATAAAAAGAAACAATGAATATACCTAGAATTCCAGTACCCAGAGAAGCTTTCAACAGATGTACGATTGTCTCAGTATTCCTGTGAAAAAAAATTGATGATGCGATAAAAACACACACACAGAATAAATTTATAAACAGGTTTTTTTAAAGTTTCAATTGGAAGTTACGATATTGGATGTTTAAATGTTCGATGCATATACGGATCATATCCCTCGTATTTTGCTTGCTCATCTGGACTATTGGATGTTGTTTCTTTCATCTGAATATTGTCAATATTTATTCTAAACATATCGAATGATCATTTAACAAATAAATACATTGAGTCATTACATGTATAGCGTCCACTTACCTCTTTCCATGGTCGTCCACGAATATTCTATTATTATATCCATAAAAACTCATCTTCGATTTGGCCGTCAAGAATTCGTGCTGATTCTTCCTTCTTAACCTATCCTTAATACGATTCAATTGGAATCGATAAGTTGTTTGTTATACCCACTCAAAAGCACACTATGTTCCTACGAAACGCATCTATAGCCCATTCAACTTGAAGCACACTTCTGAATGACACAATAATACGCGAAGTAGTAATTATGAAGACATTTTAAACGTTCAACTACGATAAACCGATATCAAATTTTATCATTTTAGCAAAAATCATTCGAATAATTGATTTATTAACAAAACAAAAAGTCACTGTGAATATCAACTTTAACTATAAGTCATTTGTTTTAGATAAAGGATATTATGCCATTGAAATGAAGAATTTGATGAGTGAGTGTATTAAGAAAATTCTCAACAAAACCCGTTACCATTGATAATTAGAGAAAGTGATTAAGATAACGAATCGGTCTCATATTTGGCGGAAGATTAATCACAAAACTACATGGCTGCAATCAATTGGTTTATCATTTTTATGCACTTAGTTTAGAATCTTCATTGAGTTTTCATATTGCTTTAAGTCAATAATGAGCAATATGCATGTTTCTTTTCGAAAAAAATCGAACAAAGTTTATCAACGGCAAATCTGCCAGACAGATGATAAAAATAAGTGATCATTCATAACGAAAATGCGGTTTTTTCCCTACAATACGCTTATGTTTTGAATGCGAATGAAATACTTTGAATTTCATTAATTACAGCACAACGCCACGCCACTATAAGTGTCATTTCCATTGAACAATGTATATAGTAGCACACTGTAGTGTGAGTATTCTCTTCTATATATAAATATCTTTTTTTCTTTTTTTAGCAAATTGTGTGGTAAGCGAAAAATCATTTCAACAAGTTAATAACTGATAAAACCAACGCCGTGAGTAATAATTGCGTTGTTGACATTAAGTTACAATTTAAGCAATTCAGGGCTTAAGAATCGCACATTCAGTTCACAGTACAACTCATTTCAATGAGAGCCACAGCGCTCGTATGCGATGTTTTTCTCATACAAACTGAGTTGTTTGCGCACACCGCTCACTTACTTCTCCTTTGCTTTGTACGGATCTTCGTTCGGTCGAAAAAAATAAGAAGAAGAAGTAGCAGCAGTAGGTCCTTAATAGCTGAAATACAGGCACCAACATGTTTTTTTTTATTCTGCGTGTATGCTGTGCGTATTTGAGCGCACATTGAACGGACAGTGGTATTCTCATTTTTATTTGAGAATTTGTGAACTGCATTTTGATGCATTGCGCTACTCACAGGGTTCACTCAGTGCGATTCTTAAGCCCTGAAGCAATTTAAACAATTCCAACAATTAAATTCCATTATAACGGTTGGTCTAATTTAGTACCACACGTAACTTTATTAAACTGTTCTGCTTTATTGAGCTGTTCATTACGATGCATTTTAATTGTTTGTTCACTTCCACTTTAATAGTGGAATATCATTGTTTTCCGGGTTTATATCATTCAGTAAACAAACCATTTCATCGCTCTAGGTACTTTGTATATCACATTAAATAGCACAATCGTCAAACGAGATAAACGATAATTTAGTTTTATTTTGGCAAATATTCACCACATTGACATATACCAAGATGTGGAACTGACGCAAAAATTCGTCGTAATTTCAAACTTCCGTCATTCACCTCCTTATGGATCCTTCTATTTCATCACAAAAAGTCAATTTTCATAGATAAACACATTTTTTTTCGATTCAACTACACTTTATTGATAACGACATTTACAAATACTGGATAAAATAACAGTCTATCACACGTATCGGATGCTGTCGGTGTGACAGCACCTGATTTATATGCTTTAACATTCGATGCACATTTCTTTTTCGTAATGATATTGTAAAAAATCACAATCGGACGACATTCGAGCGATTAATCTTGTGTCTTTTGTGTCAAACTCTCGAAAATTGCTAACACACTAGTCCCCGTACCGACAGTTAGAGCGAACAACCCGAAGCATACGATGAGTATATTTTTTGTGACCATTAAAGATAGTGATGCACCACATGTACTTCGCCAAAATACACACGTCTCAATCAGTGCGGGGAATATAAGGCCAAGAGCTGATAAACACAAAGCACCGACTAATGATATGATTAAATCCAATTTTGGTATGAGAACAGCGAGCAAGACTGTTTGAAAAAAAAAATGAAAATTGTAAAAATTTGCAAACAAAATTTTGGTTCGACGTAAAAGAGAGATCATTTTTGAATTACTTACAGGTTATTAGACAGATGACAGTACGCACAACATATTCCCAGAATAATTTATAGCGATCGTTTGTGATTTTACTGACGATGTATTTGTTCCACGTCAAATTGATTGCGACATAGCATTGTAAGCCGTGAGAAATAAAGACACCAAATGCTAACATTCCTTTAACCGATTGTGCCAAGCTTTTTAATCGAAAGAAACATAAAAATAAATGAAGAAAAAAAATAGTAATAATACTGTGCAAATGAGAAATTGATCACGTTTTTTTTTTGGTACTTACATTTCGTCGGCTTTGCTGTTTATTTCCAAACTCAATGTGATTGATTCACCAACAGCGTCTCCATATTTCAAGTAACCGAATAGACCCATTCCAATGTAAAGGATGACAATGATCACAAACGCACGATTCAATACACCAGTCAGACCGACATACGATTTTGGTGTCTTCATCTCATTTTCAAGCGGAATGACCTGGAAAGATCCATCATTATTAACAAAAAATTGAATAAACATCTCTTGAACGATCGTTTCATACAACTCCAATGGCTTCCAATGAGAAGAGTACGGTTCCGAAAAAGAATGGGAATTCAGAGGCTGGTCCAAATGCTCGTTTGCCTTCCAAAGAAATCGGTTCGCGTACAATGAAGTAGCAAATTATTCCAAACGAAATGATGGTCACAAAATTGGCGAATGTGGACAACGGTGCCAAGTATTTATAGTTTCGAATCTGAAATCGAATGCGAAAAAAAAATTGAATGATTTTAATAAAGTCAAGGTATGTTAAAAATAAATTGAGGTTGATTTAAGACCATTTTCAACTAAAGATACTTGATTTACGTAAATCTTTGCGTTTTTTTCGTTCAATGTTTTAATTGAGCATGCATACGTATGCAAATGACATGATTTATTTACCCAGTTGAGGAAAATGATCGGCAACAAAATGAGCACCATATATAACCGTACATCGGTTTCATCAGAGCCGGTGGCATAGTCAACGATTGATTTTATATTTTTCGCCATGAAAACAACATAGATACAACAGGCACCAATTTGACACATGAGTAAAAATGCATTCGCTAAATGCCTGCCGATTACGCGCGAAAGAAAAACAAAATTTATTGAAAAATGATCGTTTTTTTTCACATGGTTCACAAATTGTATTACTTGAAAAGGGGCGCGTATCTGTTAATGGATTTTGGACCTTCGAGAACAGCATTCTCTACGATTGTCGTATAATCCATCTGCGGAATCTGAAAAACAACACTCACGAATCAAAACGAGTTGATCGAATTTTTTTTTTAAAGATTCAACGGTAATTTTTGTACCTTTCTTCGTTTGCACAGTTCATAATGTGATTTCAACAGCATTTGTACGCAGTAAATACAGATCATTCCAATCGAAATTGTTCCCACTGTGCCAGTAATATAGCCAGCATGATAAATAGCCTACATTTTTTTTTGTTCATAATTATTAGTCAAACAATTGAATTCACAAACTATTCCATATAAATCTACCTTTGGCATGGCCAGAATGCCAGTACCCAGCGAACCTTTTAACAAATGTACGATTGTGTCCGTGTTTCTGCAATAAAAAAAAAACAACGTTGTTGTAATAAAAAACAACACACCGAATCAATTTATGAACTGGTTTTCTGAAGGTTATGCGATTTAATTACGATATTGGATGTTTAACCGTTCGATGCATATACGGATCATATTCTTCGTATTTGGATTGTTCGTCTGGACGATTGTTTGTTGTTTCTTTCATCTGAATATTGTCGATATTTATCCTGGAAAGTCCAGTGATTTTTCAATAAAATTTCGTTGAGCTTTCCACTTTCTATCTAACACTTACCCCTTTCCATAGTCATCCTCAAATGTTTTGTTATTGTATCCGTTCATTGTTGTCTTCGATTCGGTCATTGTGATTTTATTGGAAATGCCAAGTCCAAGTATGTGATTAATAGTATTGGTTCTCGGACGTAAGTACACTGCGTTTTACGAATCAATTCTGTTCACAGAATTCAACTTGATACACGAATGAATGATACAATAATAAGCGGTTGATTAGTTTGGTGTCGGTATTTATAACAACATGATCGTACCCCTACTTTTAGTGTTTATGATTCCAGTATTAGTGGACTATTGAACGAGTATTGAATGATTGAAAAGAAGTAAGAATTGTGTCTTTAACCGATAAAAGAAAATAAATTAGTTGTTTTAGATAAAGAATATTATGACAATGAAGTGTTGGATGTTATCACTGAAATGTATAGAACACTCGTAAATTAAACCCAGCTCATCGATGGCTAGAGAAAGTAACTACCTAAGGCGATACCGATTCTGTTTCTGGCAAAAGATTGATGTGAATACTACGCGGAATATCTTGAATATATATCTTTTGTACTATTTGCTTAAAATACACAATGAATGGGAGATTTCAACAGATTACATCCAGTGTAAACACAAAAATGTACCATGACGCGATACCAACAATGACGCGATGCTTAGAAAACGAGATGAGTTAGAGATATATTTTTTCTATGAAAACAGTTGCAGTTTCTTATGAAAATAGTGGGCGGAAAATGGAATAATAGTGTATCATTCGACGATAGTTGATCCGACCATCGACATGGCTCCCTTTCTGACTGTTGGCTCGGAATGTTTCATAGCTGCAATTGATTTTCAGATACTCTCATAGACTTTTTTCGTTGATTGACATAATATTTAAGTCAACAGTAGGTTGTATCCAAGTTCTTTTTGGAAGAAAAAAAATGAAAAAGGCAAATCTGATCGAGACAGATAATAAAAATAAATTATCATTCGTAATGAAATGAGTGAACAATAATACCGTTCTCTTCCTTCCAACAATACTCATTATGGCCGCGCGCGTGTGTGTGTGTGTGTTATCAATGCGAATGAAACACTTTGAATTCCGTTTATTGCAGCACAACGCCACTGCAAGCGTCATCACCATTTCGCTTGCTATAGTATCTCAGATTTCGTTTTCACTTCTTTGCAAATTGTGTGGCAAGCAAATAGTCATTTCAACAAGTTGATTGCTGATAAAAACGTACGTGAAGAACAATTGTTCCGTGACACGCGACTTCATTGACTTGCTTTGCGCTTTTTGATGCATTCATATTATTTGTTTATATCGCTGGTATGAGTAATGCTATTTATATCGAATGCGTTCAACAAGTGCCTTTGGAAATGTGAAATCATTTAAGAAGTTTTAATTCAGAGATCTCATTTTGTATACGCCTATATCTTGAAATATTAATAGCTCCTATTTTTTTTTAAAATCTCTATAAGGAATGTATTGGCAATGTAAATTGTGAAATGAGATCTCTGTTTTAATTTGTATTCAAACAGCATTTTTTTTGATTTTCCATCACACAGACGATATGGATTGGTGTTTATCATTTAGTAAACAAATCGTTTCATCGCTTAAGGTGACTTATTGACCTTGATTAGTGCTTGCCAAACGTTTATCATTTATCTCGATAATTTTTAAATATGACAGATCATCACACTGACACAGAAATCAAAAGAGAAGATGTAGAAACGATGGTGAATATAAATCGCATTTGCATATTTTATTCTCAGGCATCAAGATTTTCTCACTTTTTGTCATCCACTTCCCCATGCACCAAGGAAATTCACTCGTTCTTCATAACGAGACAAAAGAATTCCACAGGAAATAACAACAATATTTTTCTTTCTAGATTCAACTACACACTTTATTGATAACGTCATTTACAAATACTGGATAAAATAACAGTCTATCACACGTATCGAATGTTGTCGGTGAAACAGCACCTGAATTATATGCTTTAACATTCGATGCACAGTTTTATTTAAACGATAATTATCGTAAAAACCACAATATGATCGCATTCGAGCGAAAATTCTTGATATACTGGTATGTCTATTGTGTGAAACTTTGATAGATCGCTAAAACACTCGTTGATGTACCGACAAATACAGCGAAAAACCCAAAGCATGCAATGAGTATATTTTTTATGACCATCAATGATCGTTGTACACCACATGTATCACGCCAAAATACACAAGTCTCAATTAGTGCGGGGAATATGAGGCCAAGAGTTGATAAACACAATGCACCGACTAACGATATGAACAAATCTAGTTTTGGTATGGCAACTGCGAGCAAGACTGTTTGAAAGAGAAAAAAAAATGAAATTTTCGAAAATAAACGATTGTTTGTTTTTGAAAATATTCGTAAACAATGATTTGGTTCGACATAAAAGTGAGATCATTTTTAAATTATACTTACAGGTTATTAGACAGATGACAGTACGCACAACATATTCCCAGAATAATTTATAGCGATCGTTTGTGATTTTACTGACGATGTATTTGTTCCACGTCAAATCTATTGCGACGTAACACGCAATTCCATGGGTAATATAGATGCCAAAGGCAAGCATTCCTTTCACCGATTGTGCCAAACTGTGCAAATGACAAATACACTTTTGGCATGCATGCATTGATCACGTTTTTTTGGTACTTACATTTCGTCGGCTTTGCTGTTTATTTCCAAACTCAACGTGATTGAATCACGAATGGCGTCCCCATATTTCAAGTAACCGAAAAGACCCATTCCAATGTAAAGGATGACAATGATCACAAACGCACGATTCAATACACCAGTCAGACCGACATACGATTTTGGTGTCTTCATCTCATTTTCAAGCGGAATGACCTGGAAAGATCCATCATTATCAAAAAAAAATTGAATAAACATCTCTTGAACGATCGTTTCATACAACTCCAATGGCTTCCAATGAGAAGAGTACGGTTCCGAAAAAGAATGGGAATTCTGAGGCTGGGCCAAATGCTCGTTTGCCCTCCAATGAAATCGGTTCGCGCACAATGAAGTAGCAAATTATTCCAAACGAAACGATGGTCACGATATTAGCCAATGTGGACAACGGAGCCAAATGTTTATAATTTCGAATCTGAAATTAAATGCAAAGGTTTGAATGAATTATAAATTCAACGAACTTTTAAAGTGTATTAACTCAAAAGTTTTGAGTCAAAATCAAAGTAAATCCCCGAGTATTTCCATTTAAAATACAAATAACTTGATCTTTTTTTACCCAGTTGAGGAAAATGATGGGCAGCAAAATTATAACCATGAATAGTCGTACATCGGTGGTGGTGTCAGTGGCATAGTCAACGATCGATTTTATATTTGCTGCTATGAAAACCACATAAATGCAACAGCCACCAATTTGACACATGAGTAAAAATGCATTCGCCATATGTCTGCCGATAAAATATTGAAAAATGATCGTTTTTTTTTCTCTAACACGGTTCACAATTTTAAAATGTATTACTTAACAACCGGCGCATATTTGCTAATGGATTTTGGACCCTCAAGCACAGCATTCTCTGCGATCGTCGTGTAATCCATTTGCGGAATCTGAAAAACAACACTCACGAATTAAAACGGGTTACTTAAATTTGCGAGACACGCCAAGCAATGCGTGAATTGTGTCTACCTTTCTCCGTTTGCACAGTTCATAATGTGATTTCAACAGCATTTGTACACAGTAAACACACATCATTCCAATCAAAAATGTCCCCACCGTCCCAGTAATGTAGCCAGCGTGGTAAATAGCCTACATTTTCGTTTATAATTATTAATTAAACCACTGAATTTTCACATTCTCCATTTGAATATACCTTTGGCATGGCTAAAAATTTGATTTAAAAAAGAAACAAATGAAAGTAGAATCAAATTCACTAGAAATATCAGGCATACTCCGAAAGGAAGATATAAAAAGAAACAATGAATATACCTAGAATTCCAGTACCCAGCGAACCTTTTAACAGATGTACGATTGTGTCCGTGTTTCTGTTTAAAAAAAAATGATGATGCAATAAACAAAATACACAGAATCAATTTGTGAACTGGTTTTTTGGAAGGTATTTCAATGTAATTACGATATAGGATGTTTAACTGTTCGTTGTGAATACGGATCATATTCCTCATGTTTGGATTGCTTCTCTGGATGATTGTATGATGTTTCGCTCATCTGAATATTGTCGATATTTATCCTAAAATATCGAAAATTTAACGTTAAAAATTCACTTATGTAGCGATCACATACCTCTTTCCATGGTCATCCACAAATGTTTTGTTATTATATCCGTCGAGATTCATCTTCGATTCGGTCATCGCGAATTAATTGGAAATATCAAGTTGTATTTTATTGCCGCTTTTTCACTCTCATCAGCACACGGTAACTTTTTTTTCTTTCAAAAACGTTTCTGTTCGCTTTTCAACTCGGCACACACGTCCGAATACACGGATGAATGGTAAAGTAATAAGCGGTTCATTAGTTTTGTTTCGGTATTTATGCGCTATCCCTACTTTGTAATCGCTAAACCGGTTTCATACAATACATACACTGGCTGTCAGAAGTATACGTTCACTTTTGACGATTTTTCACACGAATCAAAATATTGTCTCTGAACTTTCGGTTCGGTTCGTTGTCATTTATTCTTATATGAATGAAATTCACGTCTAAATAAATTTTTGACGCATTGTTTCCCACCAAATTTCGCAATTAAGTTCAGTAAAATTACGAACGAAATCTGTCCAAGTCTTTTGAATCTGTGTTCGGTGACAAAATTTCCAAACTATTCTCTCATAACTCATACATTCATGTTGTAAATCGATAGAAGAATGAATTGGAATTGAATTGCTATCGAAATTTGTTTTGAAAATATTGAGAAGATCTTGTTTTTAAATGGAACCAATTCATTTCTGTAACAATCATTTTCAAATTTCATTTTTACATGATGCAAAGGTTTCATGAATTTGTGTAACTATAGTTATTTCCTTCGAAGATATTGTAAAGAGCACCAATTGAGCTCGAACTTTTGACGACCAGTGTATTTAGATTTCATTTTGAATATAAAAATACGCAACTTCATACCCTCAGCCGTAACATAAAGCACGTCACACTTAGTCAAGGTCATGGATAATTTAACGGCAAGAGAAAGTGAATATTTGGAACAATAGATTCGATTATTCGTGTATATGAACGCAGTAAGTGCGATGAATGATTGATTGCTTTGAGTCGTTTATGTGTATTCATCTCCACGAAAAAAAAAACTTGTAGTCAAAATCCACCTTTCGAAATGGTGTGTATCTATTTCATTTATATGTGTTTGATTTGAAAAATGTGTTTGACTTCTTTGAAACACGTTCAAAAACACATCTATAATGTTGAAGTTGTATTGACAGTGTTATGAAGTGACATCGGTATTCACCAATAGCTTGTGTATGATTTTTAGTGTATTTGTTTGAATACACGAAGAAATTCATTTTCAAATGCGTAAGGTTTAATTGGCAAAAATCATATTCATTGCACGACCTGCATTAATATGTGCCATTTGAATGGAAACGCAGCACGATTCTTTTTACATGTCCGCTTATTATATCAGGAAAAAATGAACTGCTCAATTGAATATATCTGATGTTTAATATGTCTGTTCAGAATCAATCATTGCACTTCAATTCAATACCATTTTGAAATCATCGTTATCGTTCAAGCAATAAACAATATGCTACAAAGCTCACGTTTGAATCTTTGATTTGATTCCAATCAATTTTTATGGCAACAACAATGGAGACAAACAATGACAGAAAGAAAACTTTTTACAACTTTTTTTCTCATGGGTTCAGAATGGGTATTCCCGATTTATTACAGTTAATCGATGCAATTAGTTGAACTGTTGAACGAGAACACCTTACACAGCGTGTAGAATATTAACGATACCGGTTGTGTGTGCATCATCGACGGCACGACTTAGTGACGTTACAGGAGTATTTAACGCTCAAAAGAATGCAACCACATTTCAGGCCATGAAGTATATGTACGTAGATACCTTTCCAATGGGACAAGAATCGTTCATGGTTTTAATTCAAATTGTTTTCAATTTAGCAAATATTTTTCTACATTTCTATCATTAATATGCCGTTTGTTTTTCAAATTTGTAGGTCCAATTTTTTTTCGTTCTTTGATGCTCCCAGAATCTCGCGTCCATAAAATTAAAATGTATCGAAAGAATGACAACCATTTTCTGGGTTATTTTGCTTTATTTCAACTTGACACGATTGTGACTTTTTTCAATAGATGGCGCTGTATGTGTCACATGTAAATACCTACCACTATAAACGTCAGCGATCAACATCAACAGAGACACTATAGCACATAGCATTAAACGCACTATTGCTTCACTCTTTGTACACACTTTGACATCACTTATGCTTTGGCGCGCGTCGTACGTTTTTCAAACGTTTATGTTTGATTCAAGTATTTCACCGATTTCACCGAATTTTCTTACTCAATATCAATATATTCATTCTTACTTGGAAGTTTTTTTTTATTGCAATGAGTTTTAAAATATATTTTGTCGAGAAATATTTTTTTTTTCAATTTCCAAAATTAAATGAAATCAAAACACATAACATGAAACGCATTCATAGCGAAATGCATATGTATTAGTTTGTACTTATTCATTATAATTTATTTAGATAGGACGCTAGCGCGGCCTGGTAAATACCATAGATAATCTATGAAAAACTTTGGACTTTCATTGATTTTGGTTTTTTTCAATAGATGGACTTATAAATTTCACGTACAAATATCATGAAAAGTTCAAATAGGGCAAAGCTGGTAGTCATTCTTTGACAAAATTATAAGTTTACTTGAACAACTGTTTCCATTAAAAATAGAACATTCAAGAGTTAAATTGGGTTTTACCAATGGTTCACGCAAAGCATGTTGACTCATACGTAATATGAAAAGTCAATGTAATCAATACGAAGCACGTGATTCGCAGAAACATGTGCATAAATTCGAATATATTATGATTTTATCCACATTTTGTTTTGAATCGGAGAGCTACTCCAATAGTAATGGCAACGAATGAAAACATTGCAGTTTAATAACATAAATGAAGATGGTCAACGGAAAGGGCAAAATTCAAGGGGGAAATCACTCAAAAGTAATACCAAATAGAAAAGTAATACCTCAGTTATTTCTAGTAATACCTCTGGTATTACTTTTGATATTTCTATGAAAAAAGTAATACCGAAAAAAAAGTAATATCCAAGTAATACTGATCAATAGAAGTAATACACCTGGTATTACTTTTGATTTGTACGGAAAGTAATACCAAGTAATACCATTTATGTAAAAGTAATACCTAAGAGTGATTTGCCCCTCGGCAAAATTCATTGAGCTTATGTGTATTCCTAATTACATTTCTCAATTTAAAATGCCTAATTTTTCATTACACAGATTTGAAAGCCACAGTTAATGTCTTTGTTTTGCGGTATTTTACATTTCCATGTGATCTATTCTACTACATTATTTTCCATCCCGTATATGGCATTTTATCGATTGGAATCAGTCGTTCAAAAAATAAATGTCCCCACTTTTGCAAACATCGTCGACATACTGCACCCATATGCTAAGGAGTAAGTTCCCTTTTTCGTTTGTCGTTAAAATGTCCACATAAAAGAATAATGGGCTCAGCGCGTTGACCACATATGAAAATGGAACCAATCGATTGTAAAATTCACAAACAGTCAAAAACAATTGTCACTTACTACTGATACGAATGCAATTAAAACGCATTAACGTGCTATAAAATCCGGTCTCCATATTATTCTTTATTTAAATGCTTTTTTGAACATTTCTTTTGATCTGGCTGTTTCTTCACAGAGAATGGGTTTGTCCAGTTTCTAGTATGCAGTAGGGTGGTCCAAACTGATTTATCATGGTAAGGTATATGCTCCCAATAGCTTAGAATTAAATTGGGCTCAAAACTTGCTGATTTCCATTTTCAGATAAAAAAAAATGTTAAAATCTAGTGGTCGATAAAGCCGTACTTAAAATGCCTGTTTTTGACCTATTTTTCAACATGATAGAAAACCCATAGGTTATTCAAATCGAATCTGGTGACATATCAATCTTAAGGTTTTTTGGGACGCTGAACACGAACCCGTGGTCAAAAATTAGCTAATATTGCTTTTTAAAAAAGTTTTAGCACAAAAACATGGTTTTTTTTAAACAAATTCAGCCATATAGCAAAAATACATGGTTCCAAGTGTATTTTAACACCAAATTTGAACTCAGCGCCTCAAATTACCTTAAGATTGACTATGCTGATGACAAAAATCGAATAATCTCAGAACTAAAATTTTCTAGTAGTGTTCACGTATCGAAAAAAATCACATTTTTCCACGTATTTTTCCACCAAAAGTAAATTTTTGTTCAAAGCAGCCATTTTTATGGTTTTTCAGGCCGCAGAATTCGATTCCACCCAAAAAGAAATAACAAAATTTTCAGTGGGAAAAATTGATATTTTTCTCTATACGGAATTTTTTTTTGCATTTTTCAGTTTTTCTCCCATAACTCGTACCCCATATGCCATTAAGCAAAATTTTGTTCGGCAAAGCTTTAGATCTTGTTAAAACCTACAATTTTGCCGCAGACAGTCATCACTTATCTCTTATCAGTAAGGAGATAACACTGATAATTGATTAAAGCTATCAAGGCCATTATCTCCTTACTGATAAGAGATAAGTGATGACTATCTGCGGCAAAATTGTGGGTTTCAGCGGAATCTAAAACTTTGGTGAACAAAGTTCTGCTCCATCGCATATGAGGTTCGAGTTGTGGGAGAAAAACCGAAAAAACGCAAAAAAATCCGTATAAATGTAAAGAATAATATCAATTTTTCCCACTGAAAATTTTGTTATTTCTTTTTGGGTGGAATCGAATTTTGCGGCCTGAAAAACCTGAAAAATGAACAAAAATTTACTTTTGGTGGAAAAATACGTGGAAAAATGTGATTTTTTTCGATACGTGAACACTACTAGAAAATTTTAGTTCTGAGATTATTCGATTTTTGTCATCAGCATAGTCAATCATAAGGTAATTCGAGGCGCTGAGTTCAAATTTGGTGTTAAAATACACTTGGAACCATGTATTTTTGCTATATGGCTGAATTTGTTTAAAAAAAACCATGTTTTTGTACTAAAACTTTTTTAAAATGCAATATTAGCTAATTTTTGACCACGGGTTCGTGTTCAGCGTCCCAAAAAACCCTAAAAATGATATGTTACCAGATTCGATTTGAATAAATAGACCACCAGATTTTAACATTTTTTTAATCTGAAAATAAGAATCAGCTAGTTTTGAGCCCAATTTATTTTAAGCTATTGGGAGCATGTACCTTACCATGATAAATCAGTTTGGACCACCCTAGTAGGCAGTCATTTCACAATCGAAGCATGCATTTTTGATAACCTTTGTTCCACTTTCCATACGCAATGGTGTGACTATTTGAAGAATTCCGATCAAATATTTTTCTTTTTTATAGTTGAAGCTCGATTGGCAGTAAAGAAGCATTGTCAAGTACCGCTATAGTGTAATTATTTTGACGAGTGAAATTTTTTTTTCAGTTAAACTACATTCAGCGAACACTTAGTGAGAAAAAACGCTATTCGCATTTCGAGAAAAAATATTGAAATAATCAGGTTGAAAACTTTAATGGAGAAAGAAATCAAATATCAAAATTCGAAGTCTTGAAATTAGTAATTAGTCCTGCTAGAGTTGACATATGCATCGAATGTGAAGTGATTCTTTGTTGAGCATAATTTGTATACGTTTCCCACGATCATTTGTGCATAAAAAAAGGTATTAACGCAGATATTCTAAAGCCTCAACAACATCATTAAAATTGAATACGAAATTCAAATCATTCAACGAAAGTACTTTGCCTACACTTAATGGAAATTATCACGAAAGGGACGCCGCATGTCAATAACAACCAGATTCTATACAACATATATTCCTACAGATGTGACTGGTTGTGTGCTATGACTGAATGATATCCGCCGATCTTGAACGATTTACAGCATTTTTGCTATATTTGTCGGACCACTTGATGGATTTTAAAATAATATACATTTTTAGGAAGATGAAGATTACATCTTTCAACAAATATAAAATCCCTTCAGTGGCTCAGAAGTTATACCCAAAATTCTAAACTGCCCCTCTTGAAATACCACCTTTAGATTCATTATCCATAAGAATTTTTGTCAAAATGTCGTCTTTCTGTTGTTTTACTTCAATCTACCCGCATTCAAAACTAGGGGCATTTTTCACGAAAAGAATGAATGAATTCTTATAAATTTTGAAAAATTTCTTCCGTTCGGTCCGATTCAATCAATTTTTATCAATTCGTGTAAATAAATGTTCATTTACACTGAACTTGTGTTCTGGAAGTGGGTTTTGGTGGATCTCAATGCTTGTTCAGAACTGTTCCCGGTTCTGGAAGCGGATCTTCAGGATGGGCCAGGGCATTGTCAAACCGGATCTGGTCCATCCTGAGGATCCACCAAAACCCACTTCCAGAATCGGGAGCAGTTCTGAACGATCCTTGAGATCCACTAAAACCTACTTCCAGAACACTATTATTCAAGCAATATCGTCATTTCAGTACATTTTCTTACAATTTCAATAAAAAAAGAAGAAATAATAGACATTTTTGTACATTTGCTCAAATTTTTTGTGTGAGAAATGCCCCTAGATTCAAAATGTGTGATGTACGCGAAATTTTGTATGGAAACTGTCTGTTCTGATCAAAATCTCGCAGAAATATGCTACATCACACTTTGTGTTATTTAAATAATGAATATCGGTGCTCCATTGTGTCATGGCTTTTTGAAAAATATACTGTTCTGAATCCTTCATTTAATTATCGTTCAAATGCTGATACCATACCGTTGCATAACTTCATCGGCTAAACAAGCTAGTACCATATTAGCGCATGCGGTCACTTTGTGAACAGAAACCGACGATTGAAACAATCACAAACACTTGAAGCACAATGTCACTTACTATTTATACGAAAATACATGCAAATAAAACCCCTTCATATGTTCTTTGATCCGATTTCTGGTCGATATTCATTCCAGAAAGTTCCTTTTTGACACGGTGCACGTATAGGTGTACAATTTCACTGTAAACTCTTTGTACGGAAACTTTTAGTTTTAGTTGGTTTCATCACAAAAAAATGAAATTGTATGTGCAACGTGCCTGAAAGAACTCTTTGATTCATTTTTCCTCCAAATAATTAATAAATGAGTCGAATGCATTGAAATTATTTATCGGTGCCGTGTCATTGAGTTATTTTGGTGGATAACAGCCAAAGTTCGAAATGAAAATCAGAATGTAGTGAAAACCAACTAAAATGGATACTTAGTTGCAACTGGACTGTCGAGGCAAACAGCAAGCAATACACTTTTGTGCCCAAATCGGCTCTATTTTTTTAAATATAAAATTTGTAACTTCATTTATATCCCATATTGTCATATTCGACTTATATCGATCTTATTTGTCACTCTTACCATTTCTTTTTTATTTCGTGAATTTTATCTGACTTTTGATTTGAGTTTGAATTTTTCGGTTCGTATAAAAAAACAGTGCAAAAAAGGATATTGACGCGAGATCAGATCGGTTTTATTTCGTGAAAATTCTCGTGAATAAGACAATATGAAGCCTTTAGCCACCACTCAACGAGTGCTTACGTGGCTTTGTTTATTACCGCCCAAGGAAAACATCAGTGAGTGGGAAAAGCGATCTTATGTGGCCTTAGTGCTAGCGCTTATCGTGTCTGATTTGACCGTTTTTTCATCAAGTTTAATGTACGTCCTAAAATTCCAATTCGATATGGAAAATACATTGCTTGCACTTTGTCCAGTCCTTGCTGCCATTCTGATGGGAAATTCAATTGTTGTGGCCTTTTTCCTTCGTCATAAGATACCACCAATTTTCGAAAAATTATCGGATATATATACAAAACGTATGTAATTTACTAAACTCTTCTTCTATTGATTTTAATTTTTTTTTCATTACCTTAATTATACATACCGAAGTATTTATTATTATTATCAATTATTTCACCGTCTTCATTTTACAATTTATAATTTATGCATGCAATGAAACACTCCCCGATCGGATACCCTTATTAGTATTTTAAATCAAACAAAACACTTTAACAAAATCAATTCTCGTGCCGAAATCGAACACATAACTTGTGATATCAATTTTAAAAAATCATTTCGGAGCGATTTTAATTTGCCTATTTTGCATTCATCTAACTAGGTTATACATCGCTCCGAATTGATTTTTTGAAATTGATATCACAAGTTTTGTGTTCGCTTTCGGCACGAGAATTGACTTTGGTGAAGTTTTTTTATTTGATATCAGCTGTTTTGTAATGGAATTTTCGAATAAAATTAATCAGAGCGTGTTTTGAGCTGATGTCAGCAGCACTAACTCACGTGAGCTGCTGATATCAGCTGCTGACGAGTATGCGTTGCGCTATTGTATTTTTGTCATTTTTTGGGATTTTTCATGTTTTTTCCGGCTGTGATTATAACTATACTTTCGATGTTATTGTCATTTGAATTTAGATAAAAATGATGATTCGTTCCGTTTCTTGGCCCAAGCAAATAATCAATCTGAAGGGGTGTCGAAAATGTATATCAAGTTGATGGTCGGTGCCGCTATCATCCTTTCAACATCATCGATTGCATCAGTTATTATTTGTTTGCTTCGCAATGGAAACTTTGATGCGGCACTAGTTTTCCATCCAAGTAGATATATGTTAGTAAAGAAAATATTCCATTTTTCAACATAACGTTATTCTTATTTGAATGAGTTAGTTCCATATTCACTATTGATTTACAAAAGTAACTTTTATTTCACGTTTAAAATTTCGCTTTCACAATTCGTTTTCTTCAAAAGTCGATGTCTCATGGAACATTGACTGCGTTTGTTTCAATATATCGGCCATTCCACACCAAATCAGAGCACAGTTGTGATTTTGCTCAAAATTGGCATATTTTTTTGTTTCGGTGGGAAAATGAGAAAACCAAAATCGTAGCGTCAAAAAAAAAATTTGACTGAAATTTTCAAATACTCGTAGTGTACAATTTTCAAAAACCTCAAAGAATCCAGAAGGCAACTGCTGAACAACCCCGGTTTTTTTTTCGAATTTGAAACGTATGAGCTATTTCTACTTAATTTTTGACGTAAAATTGATTTTCGGTTTCATTTGTATAGATTTATGTGATTTTTGTGTCGTAAGTTGCGTCTATTTTAAGCAAAATGAGAAAATTACACCCATGAGCTTCGGTTTAACAGTGACATTAACTCGCTGAGCAAATAATTTCTGCTTTTGCTGCCTTTACACTTCTAGTGTGATCTCTTATAAACATTTTGAGTACCTACATGATCAAATCGAGTGATGTTTTCACATATTTCTGGCCTCATATTCAGTTGGTTCAATTTCAAATCTTAACAAATCGACTGTTGGTCAAAAAATCTCTAAATATAAAATTTTCACGGTTGGTGTCTTCGTGAAAAGTCATTTTTTCTCAAAACTATGGAGAGTCTTCCAAAAACTCCAAAAAGTCATTTTTTGAGGTACTTGTCGAGCAAAAGTGACGTTTTTTACGGATTTTGTTGTGAAATTATCATTTTTTTGTTCGGGAGGTTCCTCAAAGTTTTAATATAATTTATTCAGTCTAGTCAATATTACTCAATACAACACAACTCTGGCCGCATTATTAGATGGAGTTAGACGTTCTATTAATATCATGTTCTCTCTGTGGTAGGCTGAATTCGGCTTAAATAAAAAAACTAAAGCTTATTTTATCTCAATAAAAAAAAATACGCTACAAATATACTGCTTGTATTCCCTGCGCACGCTACGTTTATATCATTTTCACGCTTACGATTATTTTATACATAGTTTAATACAGAGTCGAAGGTATATTTAAGCGATATTTTTAGCGTGAACTGCATGCAAAGCATACGGATAGAATACGCTAAGTCAAAGTGCATGCGGTTCACGCTAAAAATATGCCTTAAATATACCTTCGACTCTGTATTGGTAAAACGTAGGTGCGCAGGGAATACACGCGGTATATTTGTAGCATAGTTTTTTTTTATTGAGTATTTTAAATAATAATTCAAAGTTTGCCTTGGGATCAATCAACATTGCTCGGATATTTTGAGGAGATAATTTACTTAATTCTGACTTACGAAGCATACCTAGTGTACAATGGCGCCGTTCTTCTAACGTTCGTTTCCATATGTTTGCATCATCAGGCGTTTGGCAAAATGTTACGTCATAAGCTCCGCAAATTAGAACGTCCGGATGAAAATCGAAACGATGAAGATTTTCTTTGCGAGATAATCGATTTCCATAACACGATTAAAAGGTGGGCAAACTATGTGAAAAATCTATTTCTTTAGTTTATTTTTCAAATTCATACATGTTCTAGTTGGTTTTCGGAGACAGCAAACCTTTTCAGCCTCCATCTTTTGGCCCAACTCATTGGCAATATGCTGATGTTGGCTATCAGTGTATTTCAATTCGATCAGGTAAATGGACAAATGAAGTTATCGAAGTATAAAAAATTATAAATTTTATTTTCCAAATTTAGCAAATCAAACGTCTCGACATCAATGGTTTCCTTTTTTGGATTATTATTGCATCGATGTGCATTTCTAACTTATTTTTGTGCTGTTTCCTCGGCAAATTGGCTTCTAAAAGCTACGAACAAATGGCTGACGCTCTGTATGATTGCAATTGGCACAAACTCCCGTTGAATCTGCAAAAGTATCTCATCATCATGATTGCCGACGCCCAGATACCGCTCAACTATCATGGATGCGGAGTCATCACTTTGAATCTGGAAACGTTTAGTGGTGTAAGGATACTTTTCTCCATTACGATTCTTATGACTCATATAGTACCTATGTTGTAACCGAACTATGTATGACCTATTTAATACAGATTTGATGAAGGATAAATTGAATTGAATTGAATTGAATCTACACTCATTGTATTGTTTTTATTTTCAGCTAATGAGATCTGTTTATACCTACTACATGATGCTCAAGACTTTGAACGTAGAGTGAGATAGTAAAAAATCGATATGGACCGACATGTGATTTGGAAGGCATTCTGTTAATTTTTCAAACGTTTATTGTCTAATTTAAATGAGCGCTTCGAAGAAAATTGTTCTATTTTGCTACATTACTAATATGTTCACTCTTCATATTATGTTTGTAATATGATTTTAAAAAAATATTCATTATGACTTTTAAGTATATTGAATCAGAGGGGTTTCAAACATACGTTTTTGGATGGCTTAGCATCTCAGAATTTCGTATGCAGCGGATATATCCCAGCATATCAACGACACAAGTATAAATCCGCTGCATACGAAATGCTGAGACGCTGGGCCATCCAAAAACATATGTTTGAAGGATTTTAAACTATACAAAGAAAAATTAAAATAAATACAACAGATTTTGCTCTCTGTTATAAGCTATATAATATGTTCGTGGTCGCACCTAATTTTTAAAAGATGTCACAGAAAAGCATCCAATCAAAATATGTATCAATGTTTCAATACTTAATATTCGTTATTAATTGAGAAAATTGTAATTGGCACACCTAAAAGTGATTATCTCGAACTAAATATTCAACTATAGTTAACTTCAGTCAGAAATCAAAGAGTTTCATTTGATTCAAAACAATTCGAAAATTCAGCTGAGGCATGATATTAGACATTTTATTTACTTTCAAATTAATTTACCCCATAACCCTTTGCGTTGCCATATGGTAACGGCTCTTTGGAAATAAATAAAAATCAGGGCACATATCATAAAAAATAGACACGTTTTATACGCTCTAAGAATGCCGCTTTCCAATGATATATTACATTATCAAATTGGCGGAAAGATTTTAAAACTATGATCTTGGGCGTTATAGGGTTGATAAATATTATTCATACATTTTTAGAATATGAATAACATCACATTTTGAAGGAAAAATAGTTTTAGTTGATGATTTAAAAGGAATTCTTTTTCAATGGATTTATCGAAAACTCGATGCTAAGTGTATTACTCGATGCTGTTTTATGTGTTGCACTTACTAATGACACCCAAAAAAATTGAATAATTCCTAAATGTTACCGTTTTTCATCATGCACAGTGAAGGCATCAATATTATTGACACATGAACGTCATGGCGTCTGTTGAAATACAACACTCTTTCTATAATTTGTGATTTTTTCAATGGGCTTTTTCTTAAGATATATCTTATATATAACTTTTAAATAAATGCCAATTATAAATTAAAATTCCATTTCTTTGTTCTCAAATATGTCGCATGAAAAGTTAAATAAGTAAGGTATTTTAAATATCGTAACAATGCTTCTCATGGAAGCAATGAAAAATTAGTTGTAGTCTTCAAATATTCGCTGAAAAGTTGATGATGCTCTCGCAAAATGTTCATGTTCACGTTAGTTTCCAGTGAACGTAAACATTCTTCATATGCGATATATGAAGCAATTTAAATGAGTGAACTCGAGAAATAGTTTTAAAAACCAGGAAGACTTCATGTATTCGTATATGTGTATATGTAAAAGTGTGCTATTTTCGGGTACGATAATAATGAGCATGTCACACAATTTTTACTCTGCAACATGCATGCAATTTATGACTGGTGTAGCGCAAGTGTATTAGTGCAAACAAAAGTCATGTTCGCTCGACTTTCACATTGAATGTGTAACAAGGATTATTATTATTGCTTTTTGCAAGAATGTGCGCCTGAATGGATGTGGAAAATGTAGCGTGACGCAGGAAAATTCACGACGTAGAAAAATCGGTTTGAATTCATTAGACAAAAATAATGATGCTTGTCGTGTAAAAGTTGCGTATATGCAATGCGGGCGCGTTGAAATGGCGGCCATATGAAGCACCATTCAAAATTCCATACATGCTCATTTATTTTATTATACAATTATACGTGCATTGAGCGTGAGTATGATGCATTTTATTCCGAACACTGAACATCACTACACACTCACTCGCAGTCGCAGTCTCACTTTTCTTGTTCGGTTGTTAAACTTTTATTAATTTTGTTTTGATGATTACAATTTTGCTATTGTTTGGATTGAATCACTATAACAAGCGCAGCAAAATGCACAACTGCACACAGTGCCACATTATTATTGCGAGAAACTTTAAATACACATTCGAAATGAATGTTGAACAAAACTCATAACAACTTGGCGTTTGCATTGTATGTGTGTGTGTGTGCAAAGCGTAAAACGAACTGACACATCCATTTCATTTTCATAAAAAAATTCTCTCTGCATCTCACACTCTCTCTCGTTCGCATCGCATTGGTTTTTATGATGTTATTGTTTAAAAAATTTGTTGCTCATAGTCTTGGTGCACATTTGGCTCGCGGGCATATGACTATCGAAACTTTGCGGAATGGCAAAAGAAGCATCGAAGGAGAAAATATGGAGAAAACTTTAGAATAACTGTCAAATAAATCTGACAATATTTGTACAGTTCATGCTCATACACTTCCCGGCAGTACAATATTGCATTGGCCAAACTACAACACCATCGGAGCAAATGATACCGGGGATGATTTGAGCGCGCTCACAATATTCAATTGCAAACGAAAGAGAAAATATGGTGGAACATATGTCAAATTAAATTTATGTGTACACATATCCAAATTGATGCAAAATAGCACATGAAACCACTTGCCTTCAACACACGGATCCAAAGCATATCGCTAGCAGCATTTTTCCCCCACCATTCATCGTGAAGCGAAAGAGCAAATCGATTAGAAAGCATCGGCCATAAACTTCTATTATTTTGTCGTTGAAATCTCAATTTCGATGCATGCAATATTTTTTCCATCATGGTGAATGTTTCGGAAAATATGTAAATTTTTGAATGCGCGCGCGTGTGTGTGCGCGTTGTTCCCGTTAGCTTAATCGTCCGCATTTGATGGCGGCTGGAATTGTATGATAGGCATTTGCAGATTGCAAAAATTGTGATTCTTCAAGCGGCAAAAAAAGCAAATTGAACGACTGGCCATTATTTCGGCGAAATGTTGCGGGCGTTATTTGATCTTTCAAAATGGCAATCATAAATATTGATACCGACCCCTCTCTCTTGTCCGTGTGTATACCATGCCTATGTCCACATGCAGATTAGTTTTTTGTAGTCGAACATAAAAAAAAGAAGCAAAGCAAACAATGGCATTGTTTGGCCAAACGGCCGATCTAATGTGCGCTCAAATTCAGCAGGTGCTGCGGTATGAACAACAGAAAGAGCCAGAGTAGGCGAAGGATAGAGAAAAAAAGAAAACAAGGAAAAAAGCGGGAAAAAATTGCGTTCATTTCCAGTTTCATGCTCAAATGTGCGTCAAACAAGCAGAAAATTTTACAGCCACATCATCGAACAGACGAGACACACAGCGGCACACAGTATACATGCGCAAATTATGTAACGCAACTAATAAAGCAAATTACCACCATCAAAGCAAACGAGATGGAAACTCTCACTCGTTTGGCCCCATTTCAATAGAGGCGAATATTTCAAATAGATTTAAAACTCAATTTTCGCTATTCACTGCAACGCATCGGCTCCGATGAAATGGATGGAATGAGGAACGAGCAAGCAAAGCTCGCCAATTGAAACATTTACTTCATTTTCACGATTCAAGGAATTATGTTTTCAAGTGTCGATTAACTTTCTGCATTTGGAACACATTGTCTGAAATTTATGTCAAAGTTTAAAGAATATGAATTGAAAGAAGATGGCAAGAAAAAAAACTGGAGCTTTTCAATTTTCATTTTGGGACAAACTAAGAATCAGGCATCGAATATCATCGTTCGTTTTTTTTTCTTCAATGAACAATATTCGCATGGTTTTTATTGCTTGCATTATTTCGACTTTCAATGGCAGTTTGTACACCAAATCTTCCATAATTTTTCCCGTATGTGCGGTCCTCTGTATTTTGTCCTTATACTCCGAAGCGAGATAATTACACTGAAGCGACTGAACGAAATGCGAAGAGAAAAAAAATACTCGACTCAAACAATAAAACTGTACAGAATTTTAATTTATTTTATGCATTCATAATGAATGGTTTAGTGTGTGTGGCTGGTTTTCTTTCGATAGCTGGTGCGCATCTGTGTGAATGTGTCGTGTCGTAACCGATAAATAATCGACTGCGGCTATTATACGTGAAACAAAAGGAGCGCGCCCTTCTCAAGCGCTCGCGCGAAACGAAAAGATAATATTCATTAAATTTATTCAGTACTTAAGACGATAATAGAATAGCAGAGAGGCATTGCAAATGGCTCTTACTTCTCATTAGCAAAACAGATTTCCTTAGTCTTTTGCCATCATTTTCGCTCCATGCGATGCGAACGAACGAACGAAGGCGAAAAAAAATGCAATCAACCAATTTTCTGTTCCGCTTTAGGCTTCCACTAAATTTTACTTTTCCGTACACAACGTGTCAAGGGAAAGTATAGGAATTGGTCCCGAAAACTTTTTTCGCAAAATTAGCTTAGATCATCATAAAAACTCATGAAACGCGTAAAAAACCACTTTTTGAGACACTTTTCCGTTCGTGTGCCGTCGTCGTTGTCGTTGTCGTCGTTGTCGTCGTTGTCGTCGTTGTCGT